GGGGGGGGGGGGGCGGGGGGGAACAAATACGGTGCATTATGGGAGATGTGCAAGTAGCGAGTACCCGTTTTCAGACCTGGTCTCCAAGTAATTAATTATGTCATCATTACTTAGATTGGAACGCAAATAAAGAAGATTTCTTAAATTCATTTAATTCGCATACTCTCTTTCTTTCTTAATCTGTTGGAATTGAGACTATAAATACGCTTCCGTAGTTCCCTCGAAACCCATACCCGATTCCAAATCGACCAAAATGGGCAAAGTCTAGACCCGTTTTCAGACGGAAACGGCGCAAAAACCCTACCCTTCGGAGCGGCACATACAAATATGGCTTAAATAAGTAACTATCCCCCCGGGACGATACCCGCCATCTTTCCTTGGGTCATCCCCCTCCTCAGGGCTTTTCCCTTAGGATGGGATAAAAGCAATGTCATGTGATATTTCACGGTCGAGTTTACTTGTCTTACTTATTCTCGTGAAACGAAACGACAAAATAGTCATAAAAAATGTACGGTTCATCGCCCCACCCTCCAACGGGCGGCAAGGTGAGAGAGTCTCTTTCGCCTTGTTTTTGTCAAAGGAAAAACGCAGTGTGAGGGTTCGGTGAGGGTGGAGTTTGTAAGTAATACCAAGTTCGTACGTCATGTTGCTTTTTGTGTGTGATCGGCAGTAAAATGAATTACCCGCCGAGTTTAAAATTGCATGACGCTATTCTTACCGACCAATGACATGGCGTCCTTAAAATAGCCGCGCAGAATGACACGGAACCTAGAATAGGTTTCAAATAATTTTCATGGGAAGAGGGTCAAGTAAGGGAATTCAATCTTAGATCATTTTCTCTTGGTTACCTACTGCCTAGTAAAACTATCCGCGGGTAGTTTCGAGGTAAACCACATTTGTCTCCCGGCTGTCATGGGCTGTATCCCTTATCGTTGCGCATCAAAGGAATATTCCGCAGCAAGTTACATAAAGTTGTTTCCGATGAGGATAAAAGAAAGACGAAAGAATTGAATTTTTATCGGGTTACATAAGGAAACCAGAAACGCCAGTCCCACAGATTTTTAGACTGGCTAAGTTTCAAATCCCTCTGCGCTTGGAAGAGGTCAATACGACTGGCCTGGAAAGAGAATATCAAAGGAAAACAGCTCGAGAATTCCACATGAAATAGGTTACATCACTTTAATTAATTCTGCTTCCGTTGGTAACATTTTCTAGCCGAATGTTTCTTTTTCTTGAGCTTATTTATTTTCCTGATTGAATCTATCCAGGAGAATCTATCCGACAGGGCATAGCATGCTCATGGAATTGTAAAGCTTCTCGTATAAGGGATATCTTTCTTTGTATTAATCCCCGGTTTCCTCGTTAGATCTGCATATATATCGCGCCTTTTGACAGTAAAGCACTGATGCCATTTACGGAGAAAAAATTGTTAAAACTATCATTTATTTGACGATAAAGTTTGGATTAGAGAATTCAAATAGAGAACTAAATAAGTAAATAACAGAAATGAACTCTTTTATCCCTGTTGCAAAACGGGAGCCGGCAATAAAAGTTTCTTATGTGCGCCTATCACACTAAGTGCTGGTAAATCCCAAAATGGTGGTGGGTGTGGTTCGAATACTTGTGTTTTTTTATTGAAACGCTTTATTTCGCTAACAAATGGTTACTTTGGTCGTTATCTTTCATTTACCGAATTTAGGTTCTTTCCAAACTGCACCTGTTCGGTACAAATGTTGAAAAATCGTCATCGCTGATGAAACCAGTGCTATTTAATGAGAAAACAATAACAATCAAAAGTAGCTGATCTCTTATTAAACTATAAATAGCCCTTGTTACAAAACGTTTCGAGCCTAGAGGTATCCCTAAAATACTTAGACTAAAAATATATAGTGTATGTAATTATTTTTTAAAAGACTAGCCAGCGCAAAAACAAGAGCAAACAGTAACAGTTGTCAAATTTCTTCACCTTTGCTCTACGGTCTATAGCTACTAATAAACGCTGCAATTTCTTCTCTTGTTCAGGACATGGGAACATCGCCGTCAACTCGCTGGCATGCAGTCGATTTCTCCCAAAAGAAAAGGTGCCCTCGACTTATAAGACAACTACAGTTAATAAGCCTGTCATCACTAAGTCCTGTCGATAGGAAAGAAATATTTTCATTTATTATATAGACGCGAGTGTTTTACTGGAAAATATACCACTCGTAAAATTCATGAAAACTAAATCCGGGACCTGAGTGGTTTATTTTCCATAATCTCACACGTGAGTTTATCGATGACGTAATTTCGGTAATTTCCCCCCGAAATCAGTTGTAGGCGTCTTGCGTCTTTTGAATTTTAGTTACACATTTTTCAAAGTTTTGCTTATATTTTGTCATTGTAGAGCCCTATTCAGCTCAGTGTTATATCTCGATCAAGATTATTAATTGTAAACAAAGTCTTATATTGCTGTACTGTAAATTTGAGTCATCACAATTACTAATCTATTATTTTATCAATGTCTTTTTGTCTATATAATAAAAAGAACATTACACGGCGGCTTGAAGATATGAATTTTATTTTCTCGTGGCAAAAACAATATTTTACTCACTCTCTGCGCTCGTTCGTAAAATATTGTTTTGCCACTCGAAAATAAAATTCATATCTTCGCGCCACCGTGTAATATCCTCTATATATTTTAGGCCAGTTTTTTTGTTTCAATAATCTAAAAACTTAAATGCCTTCGTCAAATAGTAATAACAAGAGAGACATTCTGTTTATCTGTTGAAATAAAGCCCATCACTTAAGTCTATCAGTTCCTTTAATTCTAATGGCAACTCCTTAAGGCTTATTTGTTTGAATTTTATAGTTCTAGGGGTGCATTTTATTGGGATGATCCGGATCAAGATCAATGATCCAGAATCGGCCCAGGTCATAGAACTAGCTTCAGAAGTACCGAAAAATCCACCCCGGGAAAGGACTAATAGGTTCGTTTGCAGTGTTATTATTCAAGGGATCTCAGATCACTGATCCTATCTAGATGATTCCTCCGTCCCTCGGTTAATCAACCCTAGGAGCCATAGGTTTTTCGCGGGCGCAGCGGGATGTCCCGGACGTCTGTCGCAGGCTGAAACCACGAGCGGCGAAGAAAAAGACTTGATCGAAACCGTAAGTCTTTCAGTTTGGAACACATTCGACGGTAGTCTAAAATAGGTATTCTCCTACAAATTGTTATTTCCTCCAGGTAGTCCTCTAGGTAGGCTCGATTTCCGCCGTCTTCCGGGTCCGGTCTTGGTCCTCCCCTATCCTCTAGGGCGAGGGAATTATCCCAGACTCCTTTGCAAAGGGTTTTAACGCCTTACACCCTCTGAATTATGGGGCGGGAGGAATGGCGGCTAGTGACGTCACATGGTGTTGATTCTTGAGCGTGTCTCCTCAAAATGATAAGAAAGAAGAACAAACCACACTGCATATTCCTCTACTCATAACACCTCCATTTTTAGGACAACTACCAAACGTTAGACCACAAGTGGATAGTTCAACACTAAGTCCTTCCATCCAGTGCGAAGATGTTTCGTTGGCTGCTTTTTTGGCGATGCAATCGGCAAGTTGATTCCTTGGATAGGAGCCACTGTAACCTTACGTTCGTGCCCGACGAGGTTTACCGATACGATAGATCTTTGGAAGAGCTTTACTTAGACGCCAACCAGATCAAAGATCTCCCGAGGGTAATTTCAAAGCTTTATGCAGTCAAATAATAGTCTTGGAGGCATTTAATAACACGATTTTTTTCTCCCGGTGTAGCCGTTCTTTCGCCTGTACAACCTTCGACGGTTAGGGCTAAGTGACAACGAGATCGCTCGGTTACCTCCAGAAATAGGCAACTTAGCGAACCTTCAAGAGTTCGACATTAGCAGAAATGGTAAGTTACGAGTTAGATATTGTTTGATAAACGAATTATACTTTCGAAAACCTTTAGTAGAGTACGCTTTAGTCTTCATGTGTATGTATTTGCAGAGCGGGTGCCGACATTTCAGTACGCTGTGCGTTAAGATAAAAAGTTGATATTGTTATAGCACGATCTTACTGCTTATGAAGTCATCGACTGCTACTATAAGTTATACTAGCAAATTAGGCCACGTTTAGGTGATAGATCCATGTAATAATATTTCTTGTCTTATTTTTCTGTAGATATATGCGATATTCCCGAGAATATAAAGTTCTGCAAGAGTCTAGCTACACTGGACCTAAGCGGCAATCCCGTGTCGAAGTGAGTCTGTTGTAATTATCTCTGTCATCTATCCGATCGCTCAAGATTTTCAATTTTTAATTGTCAAAGAGCAACGTGTGGTGAGGCTTTTGTATGTTCTGTAAAGACTGGTGAGGCCGACTTGTAAAAAGTTGACCTTCCGAAGCCCATTCGATTTTGCTAAAGTTTGTTTATGTTCTAGTTGTGCATGTGAAAACGAGCGAGCGACCCTCGGCCTTTGGTCGATTCTCCGGTTAATTTGTTGTGATTTTCCGCTACATTACTCGTTCAAAGCTCTATGCTTCTGCTATTTAAAAGTGTGTATTATCTTTCGTGTTTAGGGAAAGTTAGGTCACTGAATTACTTATGTTTTGCTTAAATTCGTATAGTCAGTTAGAAGTCTTCTCGGATTTTTACTCACGCGACTAATCGAATATTAGATTAGAACCAATTTGATGAGCAGAAATAGAACTAATGATCAATCAGCGAGGGTTTGCCCTTTTTATAAGGTTGTCTTTTGTCCTTTCATGCTGTTCTCTGATGGGATTCACACAAAAATAGTTTAAACTAAACAACAGGGATGTGTATGTAAAATTTACACACACAGTTTAGTTTCCTCATAATGCAACTCCCGTCTTTCGTAGCTCATAAAGCAAACCCTTTAACTCGGGTCTGAGATGAAAAAATCACTGCTTTAACATAACAACATAACCACTCAACATTTCAGTAGGTAATCAGAGCTTCCTTAATTCTGGCTTAAATTCCTCCTCAAATAACGTGCAAATCAGTTCCAGTTGTAGATGGATTCGAATTGAAATGAAGTGCAAACGTAGATTTACATGTATCCGTTTCCTCTTTGTTGATATTTTGTTCTTTGTAGCTTACCGTGCAGGTGCAAATCGTATACCTACTTTCAAAACAATTTCGCTCGTCCCTCAAAACATTTTTACTTACTATAAACACTGGAGATTAACGCGAATTTAACTTAGCTTTCCTGTTTCTAGCACGTCGGAAATGCCAGTCACTAATTTCTTGTATGGTCGATCGACTTCATTTCATCATTTAATCGATTTATCTCTCTCTTGACCGCAAAATGCAGAAAAATCTTATAATCCTTCTACCAAAAGTTTTGTTTTGGCGTAAATTCATACATTTAACATAAAGATCTCAGTTATTGTGTACCCCATTAATACTAGTAAACTTTGTTATATGCTGGATTTATATTATAATAGTTCCTGTGTCTTGATCTTTTATTACTTCATAAAGAAACGTAAACAATTTGACATGATGCATTTATATTTTTAAATTTTCAAATTTATACTTTTTCCTGAAAGTCTAGAACTGCAACAGAATTAAACCCATCTTGATGGCATGTCATCCTATTTTATAAAATTTATGCCGTTGAAAGTTTATAAAGTATATTTACAAGTTTTTTTAATCTGGAGTGGTGTTGATTCCATTCGTGATTTTTGTTGTATAATATGTATATTCAGTCAGCATTCTTCAGATTGCATTTGTGAAATGCCAATGACAAGTGCACGCTTTAACTGTTCTCTAAAACATAATGACTTTTCCGACTTGTAAGGCCTTTTCTTAGTCATTATACATTTCTGTTATTTCCTTTGAAAAAATTAGCATTTGTATTTTTGAAGTGAAATGGATCAAGTAGTTGCCCTTCCTTTGACATTTCTGTCTTTGCAAACAAAGAATTGTCCTTTTACGTTCATCAAGGTTTGTTTTTTTTTTTCGCAGACTCTAGCATTATATATGCAGTTGTTGCAGTTTTATCACAGAGCCTTTTTTGAAACAGACTAATTCATGTTTCATAACTGTTTGCTGTACTTATGACAGGATTAAGAAGAAATTCATTGAATTGCAGTACTTGATAATAAGATTACCTCTTTGTGTGCCTTAGCAGGCTATTTATAGCTTGCATGAGTTTTAGCATAATTTTTATCTGGTTTTCCAGAATAGTAATAGGATAGCTGTTAGTATATCCTCCTTTGCTAGATCTTGCATTCATTACTAGCATCTCTAATTTGATTTTATGTTGTTTTTTTGGTCTGTAAAGGAAATGTGTAAGTTATACCACTCAAACTTATGCTCTTTTGACATTACTCTGTAAGACTGATATATTTCTTGACACACATTTGGAAAAACTGATCACTTCAGTGGTCAAAAGAAAAAAATAATAAACTTCAAAGTTTACTGGAAAATCGGGATCGAGGATCGAGGATCTGTTAAAAAGAGCTTGAAAATAAAAGAAATGAAAAAATAGTGGATCAGTGGTGATGTGGGTGGCAGACTGTAGATAAATTTCACAGAACATAACACCGTTCGCTGTACTGAACACTAAATTCAAGTAAACTTATACGAGTCTCTCTGCGTCAGTGATTGTTTTGACGAGAAAGTGAAATTTTCCTGGAAAATGAAACACTTTATCCCAGTGATACTGTAATAAAAGAAAAAACTTTAACAGTTTTTAATTTTTAATTGTACATTTGCTTTCAGTACTCCTTACTTTCTTGTAATTGTTGTATGCACGACCCCACCAGCAATGCTGATCTTTTTATCATGCTAAAAACTGCTTAAACATTGTATCTGAGACTGCATGGAGATATTAAAAGTAGATACTAAGCAGCTATGGAAAATGTAATTACTTTCACGCGATGTTGATATCTTATAAAACGGACAACAAATTCAGCAGGAATACGTGCAAACTGAATTAACTGTGTGTTGTATAAAGGTCTGTTAAACTTATACATTTTTCCTGTGCTGAACATATACTGTACCGAGCCGTATCTTGGTCCAGTACAAAGAAGCTATGTATATTTATACTGACAGAGTCATGGGCCCCTGATAGCAATAAAAATCATTGCTCAATTTTTTGAGTGTAAAATCCCTGGATGAAGCAATATCAGTATGTATGTTTGAGGCTAAGATGTGCGGCCTGTCTCTCCTTGCAATTTTTACTTTTTGAGTATTTACATTATGACATATAACACTTGTTTTGTATTCCAAACAAAAAAGTAGTATAACGGCTCTGGCGCCTTTGACAACAAAACTTATTTCCAAGCAAGCGAGACTCATAAACTAACAGAATTACTGTCTATTGATTTTGATTATATTTGGGGGTAGTGCTTATTAACTTTTTTTTTCCCAATTTTGGTGTTTATTCAGAGTAAGAGAAAATTTTCTTATCCACTTGTCCTTCAGACAAGCACTATATTAAAATTGGTTGTCCAAAACCCAAGAGTTCTTGTCCAAAAAGTTTTGCTCGAAACTCGGGCATTTAATGATCTTCTCTTGATTCACTTAATTCTTTGCTAGCATCCAAGATTTTTTCTTTTCTTGTTTGCTTTGAAAGAAAAACTAACAAAGAAGACTAATTTTTGGACTTTTTTTGATTCTGCCATTCTCAACTCAAAATTTTGAGCCCGGGAATGAGCTAAGTCTTAACAGAAGTAATACTATGGTAATTTTGTTTGACTTCTTGCAGACTTCCTGATGGATTTGCACAGCTCAAGAATCTCACTTCTCTCTGTCTGAATGATGTTTCTTTGATTCGATTGCCTCCAGACATTGGAAGGTACGAAGTGCATGACTCTGCTAATGTGAAATCCTTGGTTGTCGTGAATCAAGGGCAACCTTACTGTGAATGCTCATACTTAATCTTGGAATCTTATTATATAGAGGATATTATACGGTGGCTCGAAGATATGAATTTTATTTTTGAGTGGCAAAACAATATTTTACGAATGAGCGTAGCGAGTGAGTAAAATATTGTTTTTACCTTGAGACAAGTTATTCATATGATGGAATTCTTAATTTTTATGCCCAAATGGCACAGTCATTAATTTTAATGTTGCCAGGTCCATGTTATGACCATCTATTGCTCTGTGACAGTTTCCATACTTTTCAGTACATGTTTTAAGTTTGGTCTGTTCATTTCTTGCAGTTTAACTGAACTTGCAGTCTTGGAAGCTAGAGAAAACCTGATCAAATACCTTCCAGTGTGAGTTTCAAAAGGATTGAATACCTTTAAAAACAATCACTTTGATCAAGATGCATCAAAGGAACCAATGAATCCACTCTAAGCAAGGATTCATTCTTGGTTCCTTTGAAGTACCATGATCTGAGTAATCTGGATCACAGTGAGCAAAGAAAGTTGTGTCCGATGGCCCAGGGCTAGTTGATTTTGTCATCAGGCTAGTGCGTTCTGTTCTTAACTTGTCCAATGTGCAGTTGAAGGTTTTTGGAAAACTTTGAATTACAGTAGTAATGTAAGACAATTTGTTTAAATTTCTAACAAATTCATGTGGACAAGCTGATCTGACCAAGTGAAATTACTGTAAAATTCCGAAAATAAGCCCCACCATGTATAAGCCCCTCCAAATATAAGCCCCCCAAACCGGTAATGCAAAAAACCCTCCCTTAAATCGTCCCTCCAAATATAAGCCCTCCGGGGGCTTGTATTTGGAAAATTACCCTCAAATACAAAGTAAAACAAAGCAAAAATGGTAAATTTACTTCCAACTATAATGCTAGCCCAATTGAGTTTGAAACGCAAATTTCCCTCCGTAGATAAGCCCCTCTGAATATAAGCCCCTCCAAAAATAAGCCCCGCAAAAAGGGCCTTTGAAAACTATAAGACCCGGGCTTATTTTCGGAATTTTACGGTGTTACACTTATTATTACTGTCTTTAACTATCTATTATGCAAATAAGAGAGTTTTACAGTGATGATGTCATAAAAATTAAATTTTTTAAGTTCTGGAATTTGTTGGGATTTTTGAAAGAACAACATCTGAAGGCCAACTTGCCAAAAACTTGCATTGTGGGGCAAATTGTGTCAGAGATGCTTGTCCAGTTTTACTCTGGTGACTCCATCCCAAGAGAGATCCACATGCAGTGGACAGGAAATATTAACAACATGGAAGTCATCATTTGTGCAATTTTGTCTCATACTTTACACCTGGTGCTGACCATGCACGTTTTATTTTCTCGTGATGAGAAGATAGTGATTAATATATCTCTCCCCCAATCCTTTACAGTTCTATGGAATTCCTTGCTAAGCTTGAAAGACTTGACTTGGGTTGCAATGAGCTTGAAGAACTTGTAAGTTTATTTAAATGCTTGTGCATACATTATTGATGTCCAGTAATTTTGATTTTGCAAGTTGAATCGAGAGAAGGATTTTAGTTTTAGCTGCAAATTCTAAATATAGTTTGGATTTCCAAATTTTCAATCTCTCGTTGTTTTGTTTTATAGCCTGACATTGTAGGATCATTTCCAAACTTGAATGAATTATGGCTGGATGGAAACCTTTTGAAGACATTACCTCCAGTAAGAGATCTTTAATTTGTTAACAAAAATTTGAAGACTTATCTTTTTGAAGAAGCCTATAATTTTTATTTTTTATTTCTAGTATGCATATTTACATTATATTATGTGTAAAATTATCTTAGCATTAATTTTTTTTAGATTCCAGATTTTTTAACTTTTATTTCTTGTACATGTGTACAAAAAATGTAAAATCCTACTTTTGAGAAACAGACAGAGTTTATCCTAGTGAAGTAATTTTACAAAGTCAAGAATAAAATGTTATCAAGGCAGTAGAACTGGTGCTCAAAGGTTTAGAGGGTGCACAAAAAAGGCTGTAGATAGGGAAAGTTATTCCAAATTGCCCTTTATAACAAGCGCATTGCCCTGCATTGTTAGAGCGAAGTAGAATTATGTCGACAGTTAAAGCTTAACGCCTACCAAATTTTGTACCACATGACAAAGTATTGCTAATGGTTATCATTTACATGTAACTATACAAATACAACATTTTTTCATGTCAGCTTTATCTATAAGAATTATTTTGGATAATATTTATCTGCTTATTTTTATGATTTTGTAAATTGTCAACTTAAAATCTTAAAATCTGATGATTCCCATTTACTGTAAATGTGAGACTGATCCTCTCTCTTATGAGAAAGAACTTAAGCAATGGTAGCAACTTACTTGAGCTTTTTGTCTTCTTTTTGTACCTATAGAATAGGTTTCCATGAATTTGTGTTAATTTTTATATAACCTCTCTTAGTATCAATTTTTAAGCTTGCTTTTTGCTCGAGTTGAATTTAGTTCTGATTCCAGGTGAATAATGCACTGAGTATCTTAGTTTCTATGTATAGCTGTATGTTATAAACCCCAACCATAATTTTTTTTCTTTTATAGGAAATAGGAAACCTGAAGAAGCTCCAGATATTTGATGCTTCAGAGAATAAAATAGAGTATTTACCAGATGAAATCAGTGGTTGTACTGCACTCACTGACTTTCATTTATCGCAGAATTTGTTAGAAGAGCTTCCAGACACTATAGGCAAGTGTGAACTGAAGAGTGTTACTAATGATGATCCATACTTTTTGGTAGCAAGATGGGGGAGGGGTAGAAAAAGAGGGTTAATTTGAATGGTCCAATCAAAGGATTTGTTCCTTAGCCCAAAAAGTAGAGTCAACTCTGAAAATAGGGAGATCCCATGATAATAACCGTGTATATGTTACAAGTCAAAATTATACTCTGGTTAAATTTTTTTTATCCTAGGTTGATTCTCCATTTCCTTTGTCTCCTAGCCCTAATCCAATAAAAAATTATTATTCATGGATTAGGGCTAGGAGACAAAGGCAATAGAGAATCAACCTAGGTTAAAAAATTCTAACCTGAATATAATTTTTACCTGTAACATATATAATGTCATTCTATCTTTTGAGTAAAGTATGTGGATGAAGTTCTTTGGACAGGTGTGACCTCTACAGCAGTTTTTCCACTTGGTGCTATTTATGTAGTATGGAGTTCTAACTTTTGAGTTTGTGAACAAAAAACCCCTTTTTTGGGGCCTTTCAAATGAAACTTATTCAGCAGTGCTTTCACATGGTACTATTTATTTAGTAGAGTAGATCTTACTTTTGAAGTTTGTGGACAAAAACGCTATGTTGGAATGTCTTCTTCTAGAGAAGACTATATTCCAAAAATATTGACTGTTTTGTTAGAGATTTATCGCGTTTACATTTGACCTTTGCAGCCTTTTGTCTTTTGTCTGTCATTCGTAAACAATAGCTAAAACAATGAAACTACTCCGTCGACCAATTAGCACTTCTCACCGGATTCTGGACAGATTTTGCATCATCAGTATAGAGATTTCTGTCACTGAGTCGCAGACATTCCTCCTCGCAAAACGTCTCTCACCAATGATCAGCGAGGAGAAACGTCTGCCTTTCGCAGGCTAACACCCAATGTGCAAATTTTTTTTCGGATTTTCAACTGGCAACTGTATTCCCAAGATTGTTCTATCTGTAATAGTCTCTGGAAGGATTTAGTTATTTGTTTCTACCTTGTACCTGCAATCTTGTGCATAACTTGTGTCTCTCAAGAGTACATGTTGTGTATTAAAAAAAAAATTATTTAAAATTATTTAAATCATGTTCTTTAAGCACGACTCACTGGTATTAATCTAGTGGCTGGTTTTGCCCACTTCAGGAAAACTCAAGAAATTACAGCTTATCAAGGTTGACCAGAATCGGCTTCTTTGTCTAACGCCAGCAGTTGGAGGGTAAGTTCATGTACAGCTGTAGAATTTTTTAATGATGGTCAGTATAAGGTAACAGGACTGCTTGTGCCCAGTTTGGTTGTTATCGTACAAGTGAAATTATACATGTAAAATTGGGTAACCACACCAAGGGAGTGCAAAATTAATACAAAAAAAATTGGACAACACATAAGTTCTGTTAACAAATTAATCATTGTAATGGAAACAAATTTCAGTTGCTGTTTCATTAAAACACAAGATCTCCAGACAGATTTTTCCTGGTTATGAAAAAAAAAAAAAAAAACCTGTCCGTTAATGCAACTGTTCTACTACAAATGTGAAAGGTTTGAACCCATCTGTTCTACTATGCAGCATGCACTGTGCACTTTATTTTGCAAGAATATTGATCTTTATATGTTCATATGTTTATTACTTTCATATTCTAGGCTGTCCAGTTTACAAGAGTTAATATTAACAGAAAACCTTCTTGAGGTGTGACTCTTAAACATATAATATTATACAGTGGGTACTTTACAGCACATACTTTTTCTTTCTGCATTAGTGTTAACTTGGCATAAACCACAAGAAACCATCTTTTGTTCCCTGCTTTATTTCACATTTTGTTGGAAATGGCTTCTTAAATACCCCCCTTCCCCCATTACTGCATAAAATATTTTAAGATGGAATCCATCAGCAAACTGAGTAATTTTAATTTTCAGTGGACAAAAACCTTGTACTAGAATGTTTTAGCCCATATTCACATTCTTTTTGACACTTTTCAAGGGCTATAGATGTAATAAGCCCGAGAAATTAATTTCAAAATTTCACAGGAATTGAGAAAACACAGGTAAATCATAATGCATAAGATTTCATTTAGTAAAATTTGAAGCTTTTGAAGTTTATTTTCTAAGACTACCATAAGAACCTTTTCTTTGGAGTTATTTCATATAACTTATTACATAATTTATAGCCCTCGAAAAGTGTGATGAAATATATGCTTGAAATTATTCTGTCCACTGAAAATTAAAATTACTCAATTGCCTTGAATGGATTCTGTCTTAATTATTAGTAAAAGTAATTTTAATAATTTTGCAATTGTTCACAGGTAAATATTGCCTTAAATTTAATTGAAATGTAAGGGTCGGTTATTTAAATGAAGTCTAACTTGGGCCGCAGTTAAAGAAATCATTTGACGTCCAGATATCTTTCTTAATGGGTTTATTTGAGAAAATAAGAGTGCTTTTCCAGTCTTCGCTATATGCTTTATTCAAATTGTTCGTGAAAAATAGTTTTTAGGTAAAAGCGTTGGGCAGAATGAAAAATGGATTAGAACCCGGTTTTGTTAAACGCAGGCTAAACCCCCGTTTAAATAACTGGCCCTAAGTCTTCGTTTATTTTGCAGGAACTACCATCAACAATAGGGAAACTTCACAAATTAACACATCTTAATGTAGATAGGAATCGTCTCACAGCTTTACCAGTTGAGGTGGGTAAAACTTGACTGCACAGCAGTCATTTCATTAAGGGAACAATGGAAATAATGATTAGAGTTTCTTACACAAAAAGTAAGGTCTAGTGTCAGATTTTAATGCTTACAGTCTATTTGAGTGCAGGCACTCAGCTATGTCATGGTTCATTTTTGTCAAGTGTCTGTAATGATATTATTGTGGTTTAATTTTATCTCTGGTTTAAATAATTATTATTTTCCTTTTTTTTGTGTTTGGGCACAGTATCATTTGATAATGATTTTGAAACAAAATATGTTATGGTGAAATGAAAATTGCGTTTTGATCTGTCCAATGGTTCAAGGCACCCTAGTACCTGTCATTTTATAGTGGTCAATGGAACTCTCCAATTTTTTTATAGTTAAACAATTTTCACAGGACCTGCACTAAGTATTACCCCTGTAAAATCAATGAAAATGACCGATTCTGAAGAAATGTGGAGATCAAAATTACAGTGACGTACGTGTAGGTGTCCATCCATCAGGAAATAGTTGCTGTAGTAAATAAGTTTATTATACAAATGTATTTTTCTTTTTATTTAATTAAGAACATTTATTAAGAGATTCTTTTCGTAGCAATTAGTAGGAATTGATGAGGAGAAGTAATTTTACTGGTTAGCATGTTGATGTAGTGTTTAAAGGCTTAACTGTATGGTGGACCTTTGCAGATTGGAAGCTGTACAAGATTAAGTGTTCTTTCATTAAGAGAAAACTGGTTATCACGCCTGCCATCAGAAATAGGCAACTGTAAAAGTCTTCATGTATTAGATGTATCTGGTAACAGGTGAGACAAATCTCTGAAGAAAATTGTTACACAGTTTTGGAGACAGAGTTTTTGAGGGATGTTAAGACTTTCTGAACACTCAGCTAAACATAGCTTTTGATTTAACAGTCAAATTACTTAGTGCTTTCCGCTGGAAACAGATTACAATGGGATATAAAATCAAAGTAATAAAAAGTTAATCGGGTTATTACCTAGAGAAGCTAAAGTTCACACGCCAATGCAATACAAAGCTATTGGCAGCTATTGATGTCATTCAGTTTGACTTTAATACCTGGAATTTTTCTAAAGTTTTAGGGAATTTCTCAAACGGCTACATGTACAGCAGACTTTCTTTTGTCCAGTTTTACATCAGCAGACTGCTTCTTCAGATGATTATGTGCTTTTGGTATTTTGTTGAGTGAACACAAATCAGGTCAGATATGTCAGGCTGCCCAAAGTCTGCTTCTTGCGCGTGAACATTGAAAAATGCCTTCACCGAGGGTTTTCAGTAATCAGTTGTTCACTGCTAGCATTTTGGATTTCCTGACAAGGATTCATCTGTTTTTAGGTTAGAATGTCTTCCACTTTCTGTTGGAACACTGCCCCTGAAGGCTTTATGGCTCTCGGAAAACCAGGTACTGTGACATATCAGTTGCGAGGAAAAAGCACAATATCTGTACTTGTTGTGTATCAAATAAGATGATGTGTGTCCTAGAAAATGTTTGGCAAACAAATAAATTTTGCATTTTGTCATGTGGATGAAAACTTGGTATGAAGTTCTAGACTCTTGACTGCATCCTTTTCTCTCCCTTATTCGCCCCTTAATCCACCAAAATTTCATCTCTAAGAGTGCTTTCCATTTGTCGGAACTGACTAGCCAGACCATTCCCGTTGTAATGAGAATTTCACTGTTAATCAAAACTATCCAGCCAGATTAGTCAAATCCTAAGTAGTATGCACAAGGAGATGTTTTTTTTTCAGTAGATGGTTTTTTTTTCAGAACTCATGGTAAAAACGAAATTTCATTTGCTAACTGACTGGTCTGGTAATTGTCTGGCCGGCCAGTTCTGACAAATGGAAAGCGCCCCAAGTTTCAAGAAACAGACTTCTTCAGCCTTCCATCCACTTTCCCTCCAACCATTTTAGGTTGCTACACTTAAAACACTAACTAAAATGTGAAAAAGAAGCGAGGAAGTGATTAGCTTTTTAAGATTCTCTTTGAAACTTTAAATATACTTTGTTAGGTCAAATTTGTAATAAGAGATTGAATTTTGTAATAATTGCCACCTTACTCTTGGTCTTGATTTCATAACTACCCACCCCTACCTTTCTCCCCTACGCTATCTTTTTCCCCTCCCACCCCACCCACCAAAATTTTTGTAGTAAGCCCACCCCTTCCCCCCAAATTTCTCCCTGGCTATACCTACCTTCCAGTCCACTGTTGGATTTATTGCTACATTACTGTACATGTACATGTAGTTTGTAGGGATAATGAAATAACCCTTCACCTTGTCTTTGTAGTCTCAACCAGTTCTGAAACTTCAAACAGATGATGATGAACAGACTCACAGTAAAGTGCTTACCTGTTTTCTGCTGCCACAGCAAGGACTTGGAAGTTTAGGTAAGTAGCATGCATTTAAAAGTTAGTGTCTGACAGTCCAGGGCTAGTGGATTGTGCTATTGCGCCAGTGAATTTTGTTCTAACTTGCTTGACAAGCAAGTGAAGTCTTTTGAAGAATTCAAATTACAGACGAGCTGTCAGTTATCAATGCTGACCAAAAATTTAATTTTGGGGGGCTAGTTGAAATGACTTCTAGCATACATGCTAGCTACAGCCTGCCCGAATGGCAAGCTGTAACACATTGACTTTCTTTGCACCCTGGGTGAGTCCTGTTTGTTATTAATAGGTTTTTTTAGTTTTAACTTTTGAGTCTGTGGATGAACATTCAAATAAAATGACCTCTTCAGCAGCACTTTCACATGGTACTATAAGTGTAGTGTGTAGTTCTAACTTTGAGTCTGTGAATAAAATCCTACGGTGTTAGCATTGAAGTGAAAGCTCTTCAGCAGTGCTTTCACATGGTCCTATAACTTTATTAAGTACTTAGTTCTAATTTTTAAGTCTGTGGAGGAAATCCTGTGATATTACCACTGAAATAAAACCTCTTAGGCAAACCTTTGCGTTGTTCAATGTATTTCTCAGAAATTGTTAAAGAGAAGTTAAGATTTTTAGCAAAATTTTTAGTTTGGTGACTATTGAAAGTGAAAGGTCAGGGTTAATAGGGGTGATTTTTTTTGTGGGGGTTCCTCTGTATTAACCTTCCATCAGCACTCGAAAAACAAGTCCTGTCCAGTAAGTCCTGGACAAGTAATTTTTAAAGCTCATTTGCCTGGAATGGGAAAGAGTCCAGGCAAGTCATCTTGCAACATAATCAGTAGCATATAAAACAAGTAAGAAGTTGGCCTGGGCCAAAAAATGTGAATGCTGCTTGCCCAATGGACATTTTGGTATTCAAGTTTTATTTTTAGCCCTGCTGTCTATTCTAGATTTATATGAGAAATGCCTTTCAGAATAACTCTGCTATTGAGGATTAATCTGCCATCTTTGAGTCTAAGGTGTAAATCCTTAAGCATGTTTTTTCAAAAGAACTCCTTGACCACTGATCAGCAGTATTTTTGCATTTCACTAGTTTTTTTACGATTTAATGATATGAAATTTTGAATTTTGTTGAATTATCTCTTTGGCAACTGTTAAGAGTGAAAAAGTTAATAAAATCAACTATTTTGTAAGGCTTTTTAATGGAACAGTAAAAGGTGTTTAAGAATAATTAAAGGTGATCCAATGAAATTTATTTTCCATTGTGAAAATTTTATTATTGTGATTTTGAAGAGTCAAGGGCTTTGAAACCAAGGTCATGTATTGTTTTTAAATGATGTTACATTTTGTGTTATAACATAGAATAATAATTTGTCCAAGAATCATTCAATACATCTTTCCTGAAAATTTAGATTTTAATCACCCACCAGAAAGGAAAAGAAATTTTAATTCACAGTTGTACACTTTGTTGAATATTTTTCTAGTGTTAATTTGTTAAATTGAAATCAGGCAGAGAAGGTCCTGCAGAATTACGTTTTTTTAATTTACAATTTGACAGCTTACATTGAAAATTATCTTTGCTCCCTTATTTGCATTCAATCGCTTCCTCTTCCACTTTAAGGCAGTCAAAGTTTCCTTTATCTTTAAATCTTGTGTTAAATGCATTTCTGTTTTTAATGTGACATCACAAATTTATTTTCCTGATGTTGAAAATTTTCAAGGTTTTTTCTTAGAGAGATCAGACTTTTTAAGTTTTCTTTTTCATGTGTGTAGTGTTTGTATGTAGGCAAAATGACTGTAATGGTACCATGTGGAGATGTGAAAAAAATAACTTTCCATTTTGAATATGCCAAATAGTGTGTAATCAGTGGCAGGTGAAAAAACAGAATGCTTACATTTTTGTTATGAAAATTTGAATAATAATACATCAGTAGCTGATCCATGATTCCAAATGCTAGCTATTCACTAAGTGGCATTGCAGAAAATAAGGCATTAAGGTGTATTTGCATTTATGCAGTAAACATATCCATTTTGTGTTACGCAGTTAGCAATCCTGGCCTCCCTTATTCTGCGCAAATGGCGCTATTTTGTTTCGGGATGCAAGAGTGGATCCTATGGAGTCAGCCAAGGTTTTAATGTCTTTATGGTTAATTTTATCACTGTTAGATCTAAACATTATTGATATAATTTCTGTGGGAAACCATCATATTATGAAGAAAATATTCTCCTGCATAACCTTGGGGATATCAACTGAAGGGCTCTAGCTTTATTCAAGTCTAACATGTTGCAATAAAAACTAGTGAGCTGAATACTATTATACATGTAATATTTATTAAACACAACTCAAATATGTTTTTTTTCTTCCTGATATGACGAATTTCATTGTGGATTGTTATTTGATTTTTGCTTTTCAATATTAAAGTAAATGAATCAGAATTAATCAATCAGAAGAGGGCAAAATATATTTTTATACTGCTTATTACAAATTTTCCTTTTCAACAGCAGTTAAAACACACAACAAAATGTGAATTTTCAATATGGAACCTATTTGACACTGTGTTTATTTACAGATTTTTATCAGTTACAAGTTTGGTGTTATTTTATGTGGTTATGTGCAGTACAGATTGAAAAATTTTGTCCTGGAACATGTTTATATGAGATCTTGTTGTTGTTGATTAAGTAATTTGTAGTCAGATTGTATTTGAGTAAGACAGCACAGTATGTGTTATATAGAACTCCTAACCTGTTACCACTAATAGTTGTCAGCGAAAAGAAAAAATCACCAAAAAATCAAATTTCTTTTGGTTAAAATCCTATGAAACAAATTGCACTAAGTTTCATCCATAAAAAAAATTAATAATACTAATTATAATAATTTAAAGTACCTGGAGAGATAATCTTGCCATAATGTTGATTGGTAGCAAAAGAGTTAAAATTTTGCTGTAGAAAAAACCAGATCCTATAAGAATAATATTATTGCAATTTTGGCATTAAATAAAGTACAACAACATCCATAATAATTATGGTAGTTACTACTCAGTAGCTTCATTTCAGTGATCAAACTGTAGGATTTTATTCACAGATCCGAAAAGTAGAACCCTAGGCCGAGTTGTTCAAAGCTGGGTTAAGGTAACCCAGGGTTAGTGCGAGATTTAAGTTCAGATATGAAAGTTTAAGAATAATTTCAGTTTTAATTCTTTTTGTCTACAAGTTGATTATTGGAAACTTTAAAAAGAAAAGAGAAAATTATCCGAGAAAATGCTTCTGAACGCATTAAAATGAAACCCAGGTTAAATTTAACCTCGGGTTAAACGCTAATCCGCCTTCGAACAACTGGGCCCTGATGTAAAGAATAATAAACACCACCCCAAAAAAAGGCTGGTCAGAGCTTTCATTTGAGTGGTTACACTAAAGGATTTCATCCACAGACTCAAAAGTTAGAAGGATGAGGTCATTTTCCCGTAAATTACTGTGTCTTCTCCATGATAAGCGTGGTTCTCATGTGCCAGTGAACTACCTGCGACATAGCTGCCGGTACTGCCTGTGATACTATGCAGACATATGAGAACATGCAACAGGAAATATTGTAGGTCTTTACTGCAGGCATGCTGGCAAAGTTGAACTCAAGTCTATTTCACAGGCATGGCAGTGGTTAAGACTGAGATGGCCTTTGTTAGTGGCGACTTCTGTTCTCATATCAGAACGATATCGCAGGCAGTACTGTTAGCCTGGCAGCATATGAGAACCAGGCTATAGTCAGGGTTGTCTCCATAGTCCTCCTAAGGTAATCTGGACCTGGTTGGTCAACAGTTGGATGATGGCATCCACCTGGCCCAGTTCTTCAAAAGGTAGATAACGCTATCCACTGGATAAATCACCATCCATTGGATAATGCAATCCGTTTCCCTAACACTTATCACTGGATAGTGATTTATCCCGTTGATGGTGTTATCCAAGTTTTGAGCAACTCCAGTGAGATACATAGGTAAATCTCTATCCACTGGGTAGCATGATTGATTTCCCTAATACTTAGGGATGTATCTGGCGGATTGCACTATACAGCTTTTAAACAATTGGTACCTGGACTATTACAGGGAAACCAGGGCCAACTTTTGCTCTTGGGTGATTTGAAATGCTTAGTTTTTTCATACAAAACATATGTTGGGCACCATAGATTTTACCATTTGAGAGCACTGGGCTCCCTTCAATTTTCCTTAGGGCACAGCGTTGCATCCTCTATGAATTCAAATGCCCTGCCCTGGTAGGCCATGGCACCCAATTTTTGCTTGTGGGCAACTTGGAAATCTTAGCTTTTTCATACAAAACACATGCAGGGCACCTTAGATTTTACCGTTTCAGAGCACTGCCCCCCTCCCCTTTCGATTTTCCTTAGAGCAAAGCCTTGCATCCCCTTTGAATCCAAACACAGTGTTAACTAGAAAATGTCGTTACTTGGGAAGTGCAGTGCTGTGGGAGACATTCTTCACTGTACCAAGTAGTTATTTTGCATTCTTTCCATACAAATAAATGGCAAATTCTTTCCTTTGTCAGAAATGATAACAAATGATTTGACGCATGGATTTGCTATTGACAATCTCGCACTTGAAGATGCCGATGATGTGGTGAGACCGCGTGCTGGTAGCTTACCACCAGTTGTGCAATTTGCAGATGGAGACTCAGACCACAGTGATAAAGAGGTATGTTAATCAGTTTTCAATTTGTCTGTTTTTTTTTTTTCTCTATATTTAACTTAGCCTGTATCAGGCTTTCAGGTAGTGCAGACATGTGAGAAAAGTGAGTGAGCAGTGAAATTTAGCAAACAGGGGTACCGGAATGAGGTATTGGAAACAATGCTTCCATGCTCCACTACTCTGTCTCTCCCAGCCCCCACATGGGTTTTGCACAACTTTTCTTGATCTGCTTTCTTCACTCTCTTGGAGCCTGGAACAGGCTATATTTAATTATTCAGTGTATTTCAATGTTCTTATTAATACATATATTATTCAGAAAACAAATGTACAAATGTTCCTTAAAGTTTAGTGTGTAGATTTTTGGAAATCTGTGACCTTCATGTTTGCCATGGTGCAATTTGTTTCCCCTACAAAAGTTTGCATAACTTTTGATTTCAATTTCTCAAGGTAAATTTGTTAATCCCAAGAGGAATTGAAAACAGTGCTTCAAAACTGTTATTGGAAAAACAAATTGCATAACAGGAAATGTGAAAGTCTCAAATGAATAACAAAAATAGAATAATAAGATTAATTAATTAATTAATTAATTAGTATAGGTAATAGAATGATTTGTAGTGATATTTGGCATAAAAACCACGAGTGATATTTCAGAATTGTTATACCTAATTGCTCGAGCCGTTAGGTTAGTGAAATTTGAGACAATTTTGAAATATCACGAGTGGTATTTGTACCAAATATCACGTACAAATCATGCTTTTATAAGTTTATACTACTACCCGCAAAAGGCTTGTAATTTTCACATGTAGGTATTTCAAATTAAGCTGAAATACCACTGCTCTAAGCCAATCAGATTGCAGAAATTTCTCATGTAGTAGTATAAACAAACAAACGGTGATAGGCATGTGCAAAAGTCTTGGCAAAGACATGTCACTCAATAGGATTCCAAAAATTAAGGTTTCGGCCACAGAGTGTATGACTTTGAGAGAAAACAGTATAAGACGTTCATCAGTTTTGTTATTTGTTGTGCTATGTAGAGATTCATTTTAATGTTGTTTTTTTTTTCATTCTTGCAGTCTCAGTTTGTCCGACATGACACACCACACCCAAGGGATTTAAAAGCTAGACATCCCAAGATAAGCATGCACAAGATGCACAAGGACTTGGATGGTGTTGTCATTAAGTCAAGAAAATCTTTTACGGTCAGTGGTTAATAACATTGCTGCCCATTTTCACTTGCATTGCCATAGCTTCAAAACCTCTCTATTACAGACAGTTCACTTCCCAAGGGTACCATACAACATACATAGACAGTGTGCAGAAAAGAACTGTTCATTAAGTGGGGTTGACAATGTACTGGTATGAGAGTTTGTGACTCAGGATACCGAAAAGTGTGCCTTGTCCATGTTAACCGGTGTCCATATTAATCCAGTTATTTTAAAAGAAAATATATGAGTGTTTAAAACTGTCCGTCATATATGGGTGTTTGTATGAAGCAGGTGTCCTTAGAGTGAGGCTCCTTAGTATTTTTTTTGTTCTGTGAGTTGGATTTTGAACAGCCAGCGGTAGATGCCTCTGGCTTGTAAGTTTGGAAGGGTTATTTCCATTGGGCGAGTGAGCGTGTGAAAGGTACATGCTCAGTGGGAAAAATTTATTTGTTCCAGACAACCAGGCAGGACTTTTTTGATCCCCATAGAGGGAGGGCATGTACTGCATATCCTAAGATAAACACGGCATACTCTCATGCAAACACTCCTCTCGGCCAATCAAAGCGCGCGTACCATTTTAATTATTTTATAACAAGCAATGTAAAACCCCTATTCATTGCAAGTCAGTGGGTTAGTTATTTTGAACAAAGGCTGACTTAGACTGTGGTTTAAGACTCTAGTTGGTCCCTTCATCATTTACCAAGGTGTTTATTTTAAGCAAATAAAATTAATGGTGTTCAGGTTAGGCTTAAAGCCTTCTTGTGCTGTAAACTGCAAACATCTGTTTAGATGTGAGGGTTAGCCAAATTTACAATGGCTTAGAACCTGGTTTTGTGTCTAATACTTTCAGGATGATGAAAGTGGGTCAGATTCAGAATTCCGTCCAAGGAGAGCAAGTTTTGAGGATAAGGTTAAGATTGTTGATAAGAAGCAACTGACTGCACCAGAAAAGACAAGTGAGAAAAAGGAAATTGGTTTTGCAGAGCCTAAACCAGAAGAAAACAGCAGAGTTGATTTAGAGGTTAGTTACAAACACTGCAATGTTCCTTATCAGTGCTAGTGATCTATCTTGGTATTTTAGGACCTAATTACATGATAGGTGGGGTGACCATATGAAAAATTGTATGATCAGCAGGCTACCCCACCTAGGCGTGTTACCTTACCTATCTGGGGTCCCCCACCTCCATGTAAATAGCCCCTTACCGTATCAGAGCTGCCAATAACAGTGGCTCATCAGACAGTAGGAAATCCTAGCTGTGGCCAGACGTGTTGAACGCACAGACGATTATCATCTTAAAACTACATATTTGTATGGTATTTAATTAAAAGGCAATATGCCTTTGGTGTGTCCAACTAAACTTGTGCTCTGGTCGGACATATGTAAATAAACAAATAAACAAACAAACAAACTATAATCAAATAAATAAACAAATAAATAAGGATTTAGAGGTAGCACATCCACTCAGTTTTTTTTGTCTACCTGAGTAAGAAATTGCGGGCGACAAGAGGAGCCCGCAATCCTAATCTCCAGGTTGTTATTACGCATGCGTGCGAATGTGTCTAGCCAGCGTTTGTTTGGACTTCCTCTTGGAATGAATGGAATGCACAGAACGCAGTTTGATCACGTGCGTTTCGACCTTCTACCCCTCGTAATCCGATCAGGCGTGTTTTGACCATCGGTCACGAGAAACCTTCGCAGAGCACTCACTGCGATGGAACAAAAGCGTTTGACCTTAGATCGTTGTCGCCCGCACTCCGTAACCTTTGGTTATTACTAGTCTTTTTTATTTGACTTTTTTTTCTTCTAATGTAGGGTTCTGACTCAGGAGATGATAGCGGGAGAGAACCTAAAATACGTTTCGAAGGAGAAGACCATCCTGAAACCGAGAAGCATGAAAAGCTGCGGAGGCGGGACACACCACATTATCTGAAAAACAAGAGAATAGACCTTCAGTCAAACAACGAGGACAAAGTCAAGGAGATTCTTGCAAAAGCTGGAGGCAGTGCCGTTGAGGGACAGAAAAATGAAGTGGTAAGTGTTTAACTCTTCCACTTCCTTAGCGGTCTAAGTTAAGGTAAATTTAGGAACATGAATTTGTATTGTAAAACTAGAACTACGTAGAAGTATTGCCAAAGAGGGCCCATTTGAATGGTCACTTCTTAGGATCTCGTCTGCAGATTGAAGAGAGAAATTGCATACTAAGTAGTACCACGTGAAAGTACTGCTGAAGAGGTTTCATTTGAATGGTCACATCATAGGATTTTATCCAAAGACTCAAAAGTTAGAGCTACATACTGAATAAATGGTACTATGTGAAGGCACTACTGAAGAGGTTTCACTTGAATGGTCACTCCATAGGATATTACTCAGAGTTTTTCACTATATAACATTTAACCAGGAATTATAAAGGTGCTTATATAGCCGGCGTAGCAAGCGTTTCCGTGCGGTTTCGGAGCAAAGAACGAGGAACGAGAGTCAAAGACCGCGCGCAAAATGGGGCGAGTAAAAGAGCGGGGAGGGGGTGGTTCGCGCCGCCAAAACCAAAAATCCCGGCCGTTCCACGTCGTTCCTCGAATCGGTCTTGCTCCGAAACCAGAGGGAAACGCTTGCTACGCAGATAGTGCTTATAAAGTCCTCGATAGCGTTTTATTTACGTGTACATTACAGCCACAACAGCAATTCACTAAAGTGTTTTTGCAACGGTGTGCCAGAGCATGCACTGTAAGGTCATTCTGCAGACCACTAGATACTGAAAGTGAGGTGACTTCAGCGTTGTTAATTTTCAGTTAAACTTGATTTTACTGTATTTGAGTAAGTTTTATCTGATTTTTAGAATGAAGATGAAAATCATGGCGGCGAGGCGGAAGGTGGGTTTTGTTTCATTTTACTGTTAGTACGGTTGGAAAGAAAGTGTCTTCCTTTGAAAGCCTGTTTGTTTTTGTCTTGAAAGTGTGCATTATCTATCCTAACTGTCATGACAGTAACTGGACTGATTTTTTAGCAAATTCTCCCCATTATCACCATGTAAAATATTTTGAGGAAACTTTGCAGGCTGTAACGTTCGGATTCATTCAACCACGCGCATGTCCGGTAGCAGGTTTGAAAAAATGTTGAGCATTGTTTGCACAGCATACATGGTGTTTTGAATTAATTTTTAAGTCAACGTTAATGCCTTTTTTAACAGGCGCTTCTTTGTGCTAAACTAATGAAAGATACATTTTCAAGCTGGTTGTTCATCACCAGCTTTGCATAATATGTCAACTAATTGTTGCTGTAAGTTGTGATTTGTATTTTACAACTTTTTTTAAAAATGAATTTAGCCTTTCACGTTCGGATAAAAGGAAAATCGTCCAGAATTTTGCCTCCGCATTTAATGGCTATAGCAAACCGTGGAGTTTTATCAACAGAAAAAACTAAGTATTTTAGTAAATTTCTCTTTCAACAAAGATGCTTTTTTATTAACAGCTCAAGTCTTGAGTTCTATGTGTTTCAGCTGGAATTTCGTGGTATTAACTACTGTTCTTTTTTCATTCCTCCTTCTTCTTTAATTCTGTGGCCTGTAAAGGTGTATTGTTTTTTTTCCAGCGAGGGTGTAAAACAAGGAAAGAGTAAACAGACAGGCCATTGTCCAACTTTATGATACCTTACGTTTGCCATTTTAAACGTAGTTTTTCTTTTACGCTCTTTTTTAAAATGTTCGTCAATTCTCTATATATTACCTTGCAATAAGAATTTGCTTGAACCCAATTTACACGAGTAAAATTGTTTTCGACAATTATTTACCATGTCGAAGAAAAACAGTCCAAGTTTCACCATTAATAATTTGTGAAAGTTTCCCTAGATGTGGAAAACTTGCCCGTGAAATCAGGTCTTAAGAATCAGCAGAGGTTTTACGCTGAATTATTCATAGATTTTTACCACAAGTTTTAATGAAGTGTAAGCTGTTTTGCATACGAAGCATTTGAAACTACCTGCTAAAATCATCCAGATCTGTGTTTGTTTGAATAATTTTCTTCGTTCCACTTTCTCAACATCAAAATGGTTGCTGTGGTTGGAAAATATGGTCCCTTCACTCTAGTTTGGTCAGGTTAGAAACAAATTGCGATGTCCTTTTCCAATTTCTGTTTCGTTTTGCTACCGTGAAGTCTTTTAGTATACACGGATATCAGGGTTGCTAATAATGTCACTACATTACGTGTTAAAATGCCAGTTTTTGAACTTAAACTGGCCCTTACCTTGTGCTAGGCCGTACTTTGCTCGCTGTGTTTGGCGGGGAACTTCCTTTGCCAACAGAAGTAGTTGTTGTTATGTAAGCATTTTGTAAGAATGGCAAGTCACATCGCCCGTTTTAGAATTTATCTTGGCCATGAGCCTAATGTAGTCATTTTCTTTTGTCTTTGTTTAAACTGATACCTTTTCTTGTAAAAAGAAATTCGCAATCTCCCATCGCTTGTGAGATTTCAGTCGATGTTACGACTCTGAACACGACAATTTATATCGTTTTGCAAGATAGTACTTTTCTCTTGAACGTTGAAGATGTAGAAATAATTTCGTTACTGCCGAGTTACCTTGTCAGTCTTGAATTTGAAGTGATGGTGCGATGGGGTAGATACGGTATCAGGTCGTTTCGCCCGAAGGTCGGTCAGCCCGATAGCAGTTCGCCCAGACTAAGTCGATTCGCCCCAAGCGTATCTGTCGTTCTTTAAGCCATTAAAAAGGGAATAAAGTAACTGCACATGTGGAATCCAAGGGTAACTAAAATAACATCTCGAAAGGTATGTTCACCATGTTGTATAGTGTTGTTCGTCATCGGGCGAATCGACCAATGTCCTTGCGAACGCCGTGGGGCGAATCGACTTTCGGGCGAAACGACCGCAATTCAGGAGAGACAAAGCTCGAGTTCTTGTTGAATACCTGCACATGTTTGTTATTGCATTTAAGTCCACCTGCTTTTTTCGATAAACTTATAAATAGGGTCTGGGTTCAATTTACTTTTATTACGGGTATTTTCATGAAACTCAACTTCAGTTCCTCGTTCAAAATCGTGTTTGCGATGGTCATTTTGATAGCCTTTAGTTTATCGACGTAATTCACTTCTTGATTGACTGATGTTTTTCGTTTCGTCTCTGTGCCTTAAACGGCCAGTTAGTCAGAATGCTGAGCGTTTAACAACTCTTATATTCGTTTGTATGTTAAAACTGGGGTGGCAACCTTTGCTAGTTCATTTTATTTCATAAGCATCATTGTAAGGCACATAATTCATCAGTCACTTCTTTAACACTGAGGCCACAAAAAGACGAATCTGGATATTTTTGAAACCGCGTTCACTTTCACACAAATCGGCCTTCTGTCCACACGAAACCATGCAATCCGCACGCCGAAACAGCATCTTTGTTTAACGCCCCGTGCAGACGAATCCAGGTGAAAAAACTGTGGCTTCCAAGGCGTGGAAATGGCCTAAAACGTTTTGGTTTTATGCAATCTGCAGATAATCATCAATAGAGGTGCTTTTGAAGAATTTGGTTGACATTATGCGATTGTGTAACGTAACAATTGAAGAAAAAGAGGGCTTAATAAAAGAGCGGTAGAGGTGGGGCGGAGTTTGGAGGAGGGGGGAGGGGAGGGGGTGTTTCTTGGTTTTGTGGAAACCATTGTTGGTTCCGTCGCTTTGATGTGGGTGTAGTTCATTGTCTTTCCAATCTTCTGTATTACGTCATTTGGTGATTGCACCTGTCCGCAAGGGGCCACCTACCCCTCCCCTAAGCCAACGTTAACACTTCTCACTTAGGGCAAAATGTTGGCTTAGGGGAGGGGTACGTGGGCAGTTTCCCAGAAACGTATAATGAACCGAATTAACGACCGTTTTATTATCCTGTCTTCTTGAAGCCAAAGACAGCTCATCATCGGAGCGCTGCGTTGTTATTTGTGGCATGATCTAAAGTTAATTATTGAATTTGCAAAGTTAGCCTGAAGGTACCCGAAGCTCGTCCATTTTTAAAGGTGATGTTAAACGGGACGATCCGCAACGACGATTTTTAGCGCAACAATACGTTGCAGTGTTGGAACAATGTCGTAACCATTCGAAACATCGCCCAACAATGTTGTCACGCTGTATTGCTCCAAAAATCGTTGATGTGAGTCGTCTTGTGTAACATCTCCTTAAAGGAATTCGCAATGCTTTCGAAGATAATGCTTATCGGTGGGTATGTTTCGTTTTCAGAGGGACCAACGCTGAAGAGGAAGCCGACACCTCCAAAAAATGGCCGACGAGCTAGCGAGGAGGATAAAGCTGAAACAGAAGAAGAACAGGAACTCGTGACAGTGACTAAAGTGGTTGAAGAGGTTATTAGTGGGTTTATTGCTTTGTCACATATGACGGATATTTATAGAGCAGGAGAGTGTCACGCATGAGTTTACCGGCACAATAGGTTTTTAACCAAGCAGAAGAAATGGGTATAATAGATAAGGTGGGTCTTAGCTTAGTTGCCCCTTACCTGATATGACTAATCTTGTTTCTCGCAGATTGAATACACAATCCATCGTAACAACAAAGGTCTTGGAATCAATATCGCGGGTGGAAAAGGATCAACTCCTTACACTGGAAATGACGAGGTATTTAAAAATAAAATTCCTCTAGGACGTCAAAGATTTTATTACATTGGGCCCTTGGGCTGTCATCTAAGATGTAGACATGCAGCAGTTTGTTAAACAGCTTCTGAACGTCATGTAAACTACTGGGTAAATAAAATTTACTTCCTTTCTTTTTGTCAGGGTATTTTCATTTCCAGGATTTCTGAAAACGGCCCTGCAGGCCAGGATGGAATTCTGAAGACAGGAGACAAGATCTTGAAGGTAGATCACATCAAATACAGCTAGACTGCTTGCAGTCCGCCTTTTCTTTTAAAATCTGCCGAGTTAAAAAAAGGGATAAGGGAGCTTAAGTAAAGACGACGACGACAGCAGTCAAAACGAAAAAAAAGCAATAGTCTTTGATTAGTAAAACAACAACTTTGCGCGTGCATCACGATTTCTTGTACATTTGTTTGCCGTTGTTGTACGACCACGACGTGAAACTGCCTATTTTCACTTTTTATGGAAGACGTGAACTCAAGACAACGATTTTCTAATTTTTTTTAAAACTTAGATACAGTCCTTTAGAATTCAGCTCCAGAACAATTCACAAAGATTGGACAAATTCGACGCCATGGAAGAAGGGCGATGAATTTTGAAACAACGTGAATTCAAGTTTTAAGAGTCGTTTGTTCCAAATTTTATTCCTTTCGTTTGCTCGTCATATTTTATAACTCTTTGCCGCTTCTTTTAAAATCTCAGGTTAACGGTGTTGACATTTCAACTGCTACTCACCACGAAGCTGTTCACGTTTTAAAAAATGCTGGAAATGACATTCATCTAGTTGTAGTAAGAGAAAGAGAAGATTTAGAGAAGCGAACAGTAACGACAACGTCCAGGGAACATCTCCCGACGGCGTCCGACGACAATGATGCAATCGATGAAGCTCTTGAAGAAGCCTTCAGTAAGGAAGAGGTCAATGAAGTCCACAAAGAACCAGAAATTGAGCTACCGAAGGTATGAACCTCCCCCCCCCCCCAACATCCCCCCCCCCCCCCCCCCCCCAAACTCCCTTCTCAACCCACACAACCCCTGGGCGTAGGGCCTTGGGAGGTAGACAGATTTCCAGAAAGTTCTCTTGTTGCCACTCAAGGAATACCATGGTACTATTCCACTATATCCTGTCTTGTAACGTTCCGACGTATGGGATGAGTTAATAGACTCTTTTTTTTTTTCAAATTTACTCCCGAAGAAACCCCCCCAAGACGCCCCCCAAAAAAGAAGAAAACAAAAAAAAGCCTGAAAAAACCTTGATAAAAAAAAAGGTCAAAAAAACCCACAAAAGACAAAAAAGTAACCTCCCAAAGGAATGACCCCCCCCCCCCCCCTAACACCCCCCCCCCCCCCCCCCCCCCCCTTAAGTGAACTATATAAACTGACAAACCCGAGAGAGGGACATCTTGGAACTTGTAACATTTACTGGGAATTGCGTTTTATCTCCCTTAAAAAAGAAACGGACCTTTTTAGATTGTATGTGTTGTTTTCCCAATTCAGAGCACTGATGTTCTCCAGGGAATTTGTTTTTTGCCTTTTCATATATTATGAAATTTGGGTTACCTTCACGTGGTGTGAATTGGGAAAACAAAACATACAGGTAAAAAGGTCTATTAACTTAAAAGATCGCTTGTCCAAACTGTCCATACTTCATCTTAAGTTAAAGACAAACCTTGACGTGCAACTATGCAAGCAGGCTCAGCGAGGAATAGTTTTAGACGTTTTAAAGATTTATACTTGTACCAAACACCATTCAAATACATGAATACAAACATTTTGAATCTTAATACGGACATTGTTCAATGTGCAAAAGACGATGAGTTTATTCGAAATATTTCAAAAGCTTCCTCAAGGTTTTCACAATTGTGTTGGTTTCTATGAAGCTTTGTTGTTGTTGTTGTTTTACCTTTTGGTTTCTCTAATTGCTTTGTTTTCTGTTCATTACATTATTATATCGCAGTTAGATAACTCTGATTTTTTTTTTATCAGGTGAATGATGAACCTGCCAAAGAAGAAACAAAAAAAGTTGGTGTTCGTTTTGCTCCAGAACCGGAAATGGAGGACATTCAAACAAGAGTCGAGGTAAGCATGATACATGTAGAACAATGCGAGGGTTGTTGGTTTATTTAGAAGTTGGTGTGCGTCTTTCCGAAGTGAATGTAGCATTTTTGTGTAACACTGTTGCTGTTTGAACTGTATTTATTTGGTTTTGTCCTCCTCACAGAAAGAGACAATAACGTTAAAAAGAGGAGGCGAGAAAGGCCTGGGGTTTAGCATTGCTGGGGGTCGCGGATCAACGCCTTATAAGGATGGGGACTCGGTAAGTTGATTCACGTCATTGCGTGATAAATGCGTTATTGGCCAATCGTGACTTGAAGATGGCTGGGTTTTGGCAAGGTTAGTTTTTGCGTTTTTGTGGACCGAGAGTAAGACGAGGTGATGGTTTATAAAAGACCATAAAAGCGCAATAAAGAACGAGCTCAATACTCAGCGATCTTCAGGGAACAAGTCCGTTAATAATGGATTTTCGTACTGCCAAAGAGAGGACTTCTTCTGGCGGGACCGGTGCTTTTATCTTAACATCATTTATCATGAAAAGTTTCACGAATGCACTTAATAATGCATAAGCGTAGTCTACGAAAGCACATATTTTCTTAAAATTGCCCACTGAGGAAGCTATCTGGAAGTCCAAAGATTTGCTAAACCATGGCCTAAGTTAGACTTCGTTTAAATAACCGACCCTTAGTGCTTAGTACTTAAAATACTGCTTTTATGACCTTAACTGGAGACGGGGCCGCCATGTCCATATGGCTATCCGTTCTAGGCACTCCCAAGGGTCGAATTGTTTGCATGATTGATCCGGTCGAGGATGTAATCCGCACTCCTTCGCCCTGCGAGTTACGATATCACTGCTCTGCGGCAGTTAGAAGAGTTCTAGTGTCACAGAGAGATTTAACGGATTTAGGAAGATTGTAAGCAAGAGGGAGTTATCCTCTCTTGTCATTAGTTAAAGAACTTTCTTCTTGAATGTTTTCTTGATGTTTGTTGTTGTTCCTTTTCAGGGAGTGTTTATCTCTAAGATTGCTGAAGGTGGTACTGCGGAGAGAGACGGCAGACTACAAGTGGGAGATAAAGTTCTTTCGGTAAGGAAATTGGCGAAAGAGTACATTGTAGCAACAGCGCTTCAATCTGCGGCCATTTTCAGGGCTTGAAGTAATGCCCAGTCAATGCACAGTGTTCGGTCAAAAGTAGGCTTTGTCCGGTCATACAAATCCTTGGATGAACGGACACTCTTCCTGTCGTTTACGCTTCTGTTGGAAGATTTAATTGTATAAAGATATGAGGTAATCAATATTTGTGCGGACAAAAACGGGTTGTGTCCGACCAGACACGGCAGCCTGAACACTTCAGAATCCAGTACTGGCCATTATTGGGCTGGGGCTGCTCAGTAATGATGCTCCTTGTTATTTGTAACAAGGCATGGTCTCTCTGTTTTTTCAGATTAATGGTAAGGACATGAAAATCGCCAGACATGAGGATGCGGTTGCCATGTTAACGGGCGGCCTTTCCTACGTCACATTAGTGGTTTGTCGGGAAAAAGTCATCAACAAAAGAATGCTTCCGTTGTCCAAGCTGCAGGATCAGTCATTTCTTAACAAGAAACTGGGAGTAAAGGTAGGATCTTCTGTTAGTCACTGGTCGAAACTTTACGATTATTCTGTTACCCTGCGGCTAGGAGCGGGACGTTTACCGTATAAAGAGGGTCGAGATACCGTAAACTGCCGCTTGTAAGCCTTGGGTTTATATAGCTGATTCAATAAAGGTTGCTTTGGGAATTGGGAATTGACCATTATGTATAAAGTTGTTAACAACTTAGTTCATATACCTCTCCCAAATACAGTTCAGCTTTCATATTCGAGAACTCGAGCGAATCATCCTTTAATAAATTCAAATGCATATAAGCATTCTTTGTTCCCAAGGGTAATTCCTCTCTGAACAGTCTGCCTAGCGATGCCGTCTGTGCAGAATCAGTTAGGTCCTTCCACGCTAAGTTAATGCATTAAGGCTTAGCTACACTGATTTATTTAAGTATTTTGCAATAATGACGATCATAGTTAATCTAAGTTTGTTTGCAATAAGCTTTATGCCAGGGTTATATGTAGCGTTTAAATGTACTCCTCTCTTTGCCGTTTGACCTTTTAACTTCTGTATAGTGTTTTTGTTTACTTAACGATTACTAAATATGTATGTATTGTGCATTGGGCAGCTATTGTTTGGTGGTCACTGGAGCTAATCATGACAATGAGTTTTTTGAGCATTTTAGTGAAGTAACAGCATTAAGCATTATTCGAGCGTTTTTTTCAGGGAAAATGAAAATAAGAGTACAGGGGACCCCCAATCAAGCGGACACCCTCTATTAAGCGGACACTAAGCCGGGTCCCGATATTAATGTCTTCTTTCTCTTGATAACGAACCCCTATTGAGCGGACACCTCTAGTAAGCGGACACGGACACTAAAATAAATTGTATTAGGCTAATTTCTATTGTTAAAAACCTTTGTTAAGCGGGCACCCTCTATTAGGCGGACAGTTGGGAAGGTCTCGAAGGTTTTCGCTTAATTGATGTTTCACTGTACTTGTTCCTGGAAAAAAATTTTTTCAGAAAAAACGGAGACAAACTAGAAAAAACTAGAAATTCAAAGTGCGGAGACTGAGGAAAAGTTAATTTTTGCTGTTTAAAATGTTAGAAACTTGATAAAGTTGTTGTTTTACTACGTGTACCATTTCGGTAGTGATAGCACCCTGGTGGGGAAGTGTCAAGGGCGTATACTGCGCTATTGGTCAGTTGTTAAGTATTTGTGTGTGTCTTGGTCATTGGGTAGAGAAACAACATGAACCGAAAACATCAGGTGTTAATTTTGGAACTTAAACGCTATATTTTGTTACAAGGACGAACACTTTTCTTTTGCAGGAGCACCAAATATTTAGTGACGTGTTCGGAATCATTTCTCAGTGAAATCAACTCAAACATGCCACATTTTCAATTGGCAAGATTTACCCAGCGAGAGGCGTCTTTTCAAGTGAATTAACTTTCAACCTTCTTTTCTTCCGCAAAAAGCGGTACATGGCTTCAAGAAGGCTGTGAAAGTTACCTGTTATAATTTCGTCACATAAATATGGCAGCTAGAAGGGTTCACAAGTGTCCGCTGTGATTTCTATTCTCGTTCTTTTTTTGTAGCCTGAAATGAACCATGTCTCGCCAGAAAAGCCAACAGTTAATCACGAAGAAACGAATGGAACGAAAGACATGGACATCGAGGTTAGATTTTGATGAACTCTCCCTTCACCTTTGTGTCTAGTGTCCGATCTCCAATCATTTTTGTGGGTGATTCGGCTCGGGAGGGTGATTTTAACCCTGTAAGTGCCAATAGTGACCAAGATCAATTTTCTCCTAACAATATCCATACACTGTCAACAGATAAGTTCTGAGAATTAAAATGATCACCCATGTAAAATGCCTTGATCTTTTATCAAATTCTCTCAACTAATTTTTTAAGGCAATGTATGAAGATCAGTTTGGACAATTTGTATGTGGTTACTGGGGCTTAAAGGGTTAAAGGAAAGAAGAGGAAAGACTTGACCTTTTTCTTTTTCCTCCGATCAAACCCTACGTCTTGCGATTCCTACATCAGTTAGGATTTCTTTTGTACATCTCATTTGAAATTTTTGTTATTGACTTGTACACACGTATAGCACTCGCTCCAAGACAATGTTTTTTGCTTCTGTCCGTTTTAATCTCGCTGTAAACCCTGTTAAATACAGTTTCTTGCTCTCACAATTCTCGCACGTAACTTATGCACAGTCCTTCCTTTCGACCGAAACGACCACATCTAAATTTTGCTGCTTTAATTGAATAGAGTCAACTATAATGGGAAAAAAAGGAAAGAGAAAAGCGAATACGCGTTTGTCGAAATTTCGGACAAAAGATTTTTAAGAAGAACGAAGATGAAGAAGGAGGGCTTGAATTTTCTTGCCTCCTTTTCCATTACAGTTGTTTCTTTGGAACCATCACGTTAAGTGACGTACGGCGCCGTAACAGAGCAATAAAACTTTGAGAACTGAAATTCATTATTTTATTTTGTAGGAAGTTGTTTTAAAGAAAGGAAACAATCCTTTAGGCTTCAGCATCGTTGGAGGCTCAGATCATGCCAGTCACCCCTTCGGCATGGACGAACCAGGAATATTTATCTCCAAGGTGAGTGCAAAACAGAAGTACTTTTTAGACAGCAAGACAGGGCTCGAAAAAAGTCCAGACCGGTCGTCCGGGCGGGGCAAGTTAATTTTCTTGCTGGCCAGGCAACCTTTTAATACCATATTTATTTCATGAAATGGAAATGTACAATCGTTGTGATACCAATGTAAAGAATTAAAAAGTAAGAGTTATGATTGAATGTTTTTTCCTATCAATTCTCATAGCGATCTTGGTCGTGTAGTTTTTTTCACTGTGTTTTCACAAGTGAGCGCAAAGGTCTGGGGCAAGAGTGGAGCTTGGTCACGTGTGTAATCAATCTCTACTAGCCCTTTTGTACCCTTTAACAGACCCAAATGACAGATTTCCCAACCGTTTTATATACTTCAACTAGTGAAATCCCTACCCTTTCATATGCCTGAAGCCTGAAAAAGAGTACCCCCACCCTCCTCCCCCGGGAAGCATCTTACTTTATATCCTCCGTTAATTTCTAGATTGTTCCAAATGGAGTTGCAGCAACGACGCATCTGCGGGTTGGAGATAGAATGTTAATGGTGAGAACCTTTATAGTCTTTAATTATCCAATCACTTCTTAGCACGATAATACATATATATGAAAACTAGGGGAAAGAATCGCTTGTATGTTAGAGTTTTATCGAAGACATTACTTAGTTACACAAATATTTGCCAAGCATCATTGGGCAATTGACGAGTAATCAACAAATGCCTCTCCTTAGAGCCAATCAGAAAGTTGAAAACCTCTGACGTAAGTTATCAAATTCGCGCCTTTATGTTTGTAAGCGGCAGCTTTCAAACAAAAAGGCAGCGCCATAGCGCCACATTTGTTAATGAGAGAATGGCTATTTGTATATGGATACCGTTAATTTTGTAAATGAAGAATCGCAACTACGAATAGAGACTAAGATCGACCAATTTTAGTCCGAGAGTTAAGAACGTTTCTTTTAGATTTGACAAAGTCATCGATAGTAGAATGGCCCTTTTTTTCTCTCGCATCGACTTACTTTAAAGACAGCGAATACCTTTTAGCTTTTTTTTATTTCATAAGCTTTTTGTTTCTAACTGCAGCCGTTTTTTTACGTAATGCAACATGAGACCGCCTTTTTAAAAGGACGCCGCCAAACTCAACGACATAAACCGCAAGCGATAATGTCATAGAAACCGTCTTAAACATTAGGTTAATTTAGTAGAAAGGAGACAGACTGACTTTAAATGGAGAAAGCGCCTTCGGGATAAAACAATGTTTTGCGTTACAGTCCCCCTCACCAGCGGTATGTTTGGTCACTGAAAATATAAACAGGGTTGCTTTGTCGACGCGTTACATTGCTTGAAGCCGTAGAGTTTTCTTTTTATTCGGATTTATTTTAGTAGACAGAAATTGCCGTGCAAGTAGTCATTTCGCCTTATACAAAATTTAGAGGGGAGAACATTGTCTGCTTCTTTAGTTCTATATTCAATTGCGGTTGTTTTATTGACAGCTTCATTAGTGAACATAACGGTAGCAAGTGACCTAATCGTCTGTACAAAAATTTAAAAGAACAATTGGCAACGCCTTAACTGCCCACGTAAGACTTTTGCTCTAAAAGGAACAGCAGAAACGAAATCGGTATTCCTGGTGTTTCAATATAAATGCGTCAATTCAGAGGTTTTGTTATTTCTTTTTCAAGTTCTATTTTACGTTGGCCGACAAGTGAACACCTACGAGTTTTTTTTTTTTTTGGCCAAACCCATTTCCTCTTTCAGGAGTTTTGGAAGTAACCTTAGTTTTTTCTCTCTATAAAGCTTTTCCTACTAAGAAAGTTCTAGTGATTTTTTCAGAGGAGTTATTTTTGGTTGTTTTTTTGTCGGACTAGAAAGTTCATGGGTGGATGCTCACCTTTGGACTCGGAGGCAATTAGGAGATGGAAACACGATGACGCGAGTCACGGGAATTTCAGCCTTTAGGTTTTTCTAAGGGGCGTGGATCTTTCAAGAACACAGTTTGGTTCTGTTTATTTATGAAGGTGGCAGAAGTCTCATTGTGAAGGCTAAAGATTGTTAATAACGTTGAAGATCAATTTTGACGAATTGGAGATGCGTTTTTTCAAACTTCTGAGTTGTGAGACAGACTTGTCTGGTCATCACTCTTTGTATTAAACTAGACAGCGATTTCTTTCTGACCACAAAATATTCAAAAACTGTTATTATCCTAACACAACGAGATATTTTTTTTTCTTATGGTTGTCGTTAATTTGACGGGTTTCAGCCGCAGCAGGACTTTGTTGTTCACTTTTGCGCGACAATCCAATCTTTTGGATTGAAATTCCGCTACATAATACATTTTGTTACTTCAAAAACTTCTTCCGCACTTAATTTCTTTATTAGCGTCATAAACCTGGTCTGTTATAAACAACCGGTCCTTTGTGTTAATTGGGTATTGATAACTCCTTTAGGCAGTTTCCGGGGCGACACGATTAAGCAAACTGCCCACAAGTTCCCTTGTATTTGAGAGTCAAGCGTCTATTATTTGTCTAGTCTTTGGTTTGAATTAAAAAAAGACACCGGATGCTGTTTTCTGTGTTTATTTTCTTCTTTTCAACTTGTTCGCCGTCAAAAACAAATTAGTGGTATTTGCTTAGTGGTAACTTAGGAGAAATTTATACGGCTTATATATGTTGCAGTTAAATTTTTATCTCAGGTAATTTTTATTTTTCTTTTGTTTTTAGGTATGGTAAAGTATGCTAATGAAGTTGAAACAAAGGAAAAATAAAAATTATCTGAGATAAAAAATTAACTGCAACATATACAACTATAGATCTCTGAAATACACTTTCGTACGGCCCCACTGGTATTTCCCGTCTTTTTACAAGTCAGTGTGAATGAACAGGAATATGCGTCATAAAATGAAGCAAAGTTGTGTCAAAAAAGTCCTCGCTCCACTCGCCAAGAGGTCCACTTGTAGAAAGTCTATAAACTGACCAGCTGTCATAAACTGAAACTTACCAATACTTCATTGCTTTCTCTTCTTGGAGCACTCTATCCTATTCTCACTCAATTTCGCAAAAAAGCGTGAGCCATATTTCGCGAGTATTTGAATTTGAATTTTTAGTGAATTTTAAGGGATTTTTAGATTTCGCGATACTTGCGAAATATTATGTATTTATTTTAACCTAAAGTTGACCTTTACAATTCCGCGAAAAATTCAGTTAAGTTCTATATAAAGAATTAAACTGGTTAACACGGCACCTGAGCGTGCGTGCATATTGCATGCATACAGCGTAGTTGCATCGGTATTCAGACGTCAGCAATTCCTCGACAACTTTTTACGGTACTACACGAGTGGAGTGTTCGCATTCGCGTGCAATCAAATAGCCTTTTAGTTCTATTATTTAATGAACCATCACCAATCAAGCACGAGAGTTTTCTCAAACGCGCCGACCCTTAAGTATACAACCTTCTCCACAAGATGTCTTGTTTTCTCTCTGTTTTAACATTCTTTGGCAAATGCACTTGTTGTCGCCTAGATAATAAGCGGCCTATCTTGTCGGGCCATCAAAGTCGCGGAGTCTTCTAAAAAGTCTGCAAAATCGAATTTATCGGGCTAAATTGCCCCCTTTGGGCTAATTAAAATTGTTCGCGTCATGACAAAAAATATGTTAAAAGTGGAGGCGCAATTCGCTAGGGATTTGATATTATTATATGTCTGTTTGTATTCGTTACGTTCGGGTTGTCAAAGCAGTTGAATGAAATGCTTATGTGAGCGATTGTAAACGGGACAAGTGAGCAGTTGAGCGTAGGAAACCAAAGTAAGAACATCCAAAAGAGAAATGATCGGTGTGGATATGGTCAAGAGTTGGCCATGTGCTTCTTCCCTTCGCAGAAAGGTAGTTTTTCATCATGTAATTTTTAAATCCAGTCTTCCATCTTTGGTTCAAAATTTCAATTAATTTGTAGTGTCAGGTTAAATCTTTTAACCTTGAGTAGCCTCTCATGTGAGTGCTTTATGAGCAAATATTTTATGGTGTTTATTTTATTCCTTTCGTTGAATTTTAGGCGAATTAACCATTAAAATTTTGAACTTAAATGGTAAAATTGAGTCTGTTAGGTTCCAAAATACAGTTTTGTCTAGCATATAACAGCTTATAACTAGTTTTAAGTGGGTATCAGATCGTTTTGCCCGAAAAAGAAGTCATAACTTGAACCTTATTGCATGTAAGGTAACATAAACTAGAATTATTGACTGAAAAGTCTTAGTATGAATCCTGTTAATTTTTTTTTTCTCGTTCTAAAACATCTACAGGCACTCGATACAACGAAGTAGATTTCGTGAAGTCTATTAAACATGTCTTAGTATTTGTTAAATTTGGGAAAATATTATACCGTCTAGTGTGATTCGTAATGTTCACGGCAAATTGCATGACTGGCAAAATAGTTTTCATACCTCAGTAACTGGGCAGTGTTTGTTTTCTTTTTGTTTATCATTATGGTTGTTCAGTTGAGCGAGTCTTCCAGGTCCCCGAAAATTCAAATAAAATATTATGAGCGATACTTTTCTGTGGTACTGTTTATTCTGCGGTACAATTTTACTTTATATTCTGAATCTGTATATCAAATCTTAGAGTGCAGTCGCCTTTCAAGTGGGTAGTACTTCTTGTACAACTGTGATAAATAATACAGTGCTGACTTTGATAACGTGCTACTAATCCTGAAGGGTTTCCGTTTAAATGAAAGCCACGCAGTGGAACTTGTAGCTTCCAGACCATAACGATGGAATAGAGTAATAAATTTTACCTTAATACTACTTCTGTTGCTTAATGATGTACGTAACACTTTGCATTTTTTCTTCTTCACGTTAGGTAAATGGAAAGGACATGAGAAATGCTACTCATCAAGAAGCGGTAGCTGCTCTAATAGCGAATGTTTCGCTCATAAAACTTCTTGTCCGCCATGACCCACCACCAAAAGGTCTCCAGGTAAGGCAAAGTATTGGTAACAGGTGGTTCGCCCGAACGCCGATTCCCCCGAAGTTGTTTCGCCTGGACATATCTCGATTCGCGCCGTGATTATTTTGTCATCGCATGAATCGACTTACGACCGGGCGAAACGACCACAATTCATAGCATTTTCTTTTTTACCTGATTTTTGTCTTGCTTCTTTGATAAACCGGACGTAAAGAACAATTTGACAAAAAATCTTGTGTTTTCTTTTGCTTATCGACCCTTTTTTGTAAGTTCATGTACTGTTGTTATTGAGGCGTGTCTTGCCGGCCGATTTGTGCCTTTCGAGATAAAACTTCAAACGTCTGAAAGGCAAAGGAAGTAACCAGTTTGATAAGGTATAAACCCTTCTTTAGACCTTAAAAATATCATCGAGTTTGTGTTTTCAATGGTGCTTATTCGTAAGGTAAATATATCACATTTTTAAATTGAAAAGTAATGATTTGATGATCTGTCGATTGTTTCCTAATAATAGTCGTAGTGATGTCCAAAATTCGCCCATGGCGAAAAGTAGTAAAATAGCGCGGCGTTATTAATTGGCAATTTCCTAGAAGAGAGTAATCTCTTAGTAAAGAAACACTTCTTTCCCTTTCGTGTTTTCTTTTACCTTTTTGACGCTAAGCCGAATAAAGTATACTGGCTGTTGCTGAACAAGAACTAATCCTACAAAAGCGACCGAAGGTTTTAGGGCTTTTAAAGCCAGTCTCGCCATGGGTGTTTTTTCACGCTTACTACAATAAAATACAGGGCGGTGGCAAAATTCAACACTTTGACAAAACATGAAAGGCCATGAAAACTTGATTAGTTTGTCCGCCAAGTTTTATTTAGAACAACTACACGAGAAGAACTTTGCCTCTGCGTGTTTGGCTTTTAAGAGACCTGCGTTTGTTTACAACCAGGTTACTTTGTAAAATTATTCCTTTAACGGGAGGAGTAAAATTATCAGAGATAAGCTGTTAGTCTTTGTCTTTAATCGGCAACCTTGTCCGCTTTTTAATCTCCTGGATTACGACAATATTCTTTTCGTACAATTCGTACCATTATTGCTTGTTTTTAGTTCCCACGAACTATTTATGAACGGTTCTAATGTTGTCTGCGTTAGAACAAAGAGTTAGGATTTTTGTTTCCGGTTTTCGGCCATTTTGTTTTTGAAGTTTTGGAGCCTTTTTGCAGCCAGGGTTTGTTAGGTCAAATGAGTTTCTTTTATTTTAAAAGTTCTTTGACTGTTTTTGAAAAGATGCCGAAAACCGCAAATAACGCTTTCCCGCCCCACTTTACGGAACTTAGTGCAACCTTGCTTGCCTAGAAACAAAAACAATAAAAAAAACAACAACAACAGCAGCACTGAGACGCCGTTTTTTTTTAACAAGATGACTTGTTAAGTAAATGCAGTCTTTTTCCGGATAGCAAAGAGAGACCATACTTTACTTGTTTATTATGCTGAAATGTATACATCATTTCTTTCAATAGGAGGTTCATTTGCACAAATGTCCAGGAGAGAGACTGGGTATTAGTATAAGGGGCGGTGCTAAGGGACATCCGGGAAATCCGCTGGACAAGACTGATGAAGGAATATTCGTGTCTAAAGTAAACGAAGGAGGAGCAGCTTTCAAAGATGGCCGTCTCAAAGTTGGACAAAGGATACTGGAAGTGAGTATTGTGAAACCATTCACCACTTTAGAAAACGATAAGAGTAACTGGGCCAAGTTGACTTTCGCAAAGACTTCGGGACTGTTACAGGGAGAAGGGAAATAGCTGGCCAATAGCTGACCGACGCGTCATCAGTAACCATCCCAGAAACAATTGCGGGACGCACATCGGTTCTAGTTTCCTTCCCGCTTCTAAGTGGCCAATGAAAACTGAACAGCAGTAAATGTTACCGGTCTGATAATTTTTACTGCAGCTAGAATATTGACTTTTCAAGAAAACCAGTAATTTTATTAACTAGAGTAACTTTAAAAGTGTCAATCTTTACTGACTGTGTATCACTGAGACACTATTTAATCCCTCATAAGGTCAACGGTACCAGTCTCCTTGGAGCCACGCACCTCGAAGCCGTGCGATCCCTCAGAGGGATTGGGGAGAATTTATCATTGCTAGTGTGTGAAGGTTTTGATCCCGCTCAAGTACCCGCGGGACAAGCAGCATGGATGCAAAGTCCCGTGGCCTCGATAAATTCAGGCCGAACACAAAGCGAGGAGTCACTTGACCGGGAAGTTATTGTACCTCCAAACGAAAGAGCGTATGAAGACATTAGAAAGGAGATTAAAAGACAGGTACACCTTAAACTTGTTTTTAGCTTTTCAGTTGTATGTAGGACTTACTACTTAAAACAGAATGAGTGACCATTTTAAGAAATTGAGGAAAATACGAACAATCGTTCTCCGCTTTGACGTATTTTTCCTTGAAACGCATTTGATTTTCTTCAGGCGCTGCAAAATTTAACATGTAAAACAGCGAAACCACGTTACTTGCGTGACACCTTGGTGCTTAGCGTTCGTTGTGTGACTCACCGGTGCTTTTGTAATCCCGTGCACATTTGCATTCGTTTTTGGCGAGAAGTCAAAAAATTCCACGAAGAGCGGCCATCGTAATGTTTTTCTATGAGGAATAGCGCTATAAATCCACAAGTCTTCCCTTCAAGCTCGCAATTCTTCAGGGGATATGACTTCCTTTTGCGTGTTTACGTGGCGAACGGTAAGCTGAGTTTAAAGACACTTACGAATACTATTCATACGACAGAATTCTGGTCGTGTGTCACTTACTAAATGGCATCGCCAAAAACCCCCATTTATGGAGTTCATTTTTGTTGCAACGAAATATTTGAAAGCTCTTTTTGTGGCAAGACTGGAATGCGGTATAAAGTGTACTCATATGCACACGGCAATATTCGAGTTTCGATGGCAGCCGCTTGGCTCGAATGAACTCCGATTTTAATGTAATCGCCATGGAAACTGGGCTTATAGGGAAACCTGAATGTTTCAGCAAGACCACGAAAAATTTTAATGTGCTTTTTTAAGCTCTTGTCTAGAGGGATTTTAAGGGAAAGCGTTCTCGAGTTTTCTTTATTTCAGCTCTTTTTAATACCTTTATCTCGAACTTTTCCATTTTTTCTTAGTCGTCCGCTCACAGACTCTAAATAGTAGCTCAGTTAATGTGGCTCTTATAATATCTTCTGCAAGACAAAGTCAAAAAAACGTTCGTTTTTGGAAAAAGAACTTGATATTGGCCCGAGTTTTGATGTCTCGTTTTCTCCCAGAATCAAATGTAGAGTCAAAGTGCAAGCCTGTTTTTACAGGGCGACAATGCGACGTTCCCTGCCCACCTGGGAAATAGGGCTGCAATGTGAATTGTCCAAATCGTATGTTGTTACCATTCAAATAAACTTTCGCATGGTACTGTTTGCTTGAAACAAAAATTTATCGTTCATAGAAGACATATAGGCATTCTTGGGTGGCAGCAAGGTTGACATATGCGAGAAAAGCATTTAATTACGCAGTTTCGTAAAAAAAAACAAGGGTCGTAAATGGCGTGTATGTGGGATATTCGTTAATTATCTGTGAATTGAATTTTTCTTTTTCATGCAGAAAACAAAGAGTGAACAAAACACAACTCGTTAATCTCCAGGGAGGGGGTTGGAGTCTCTCTTTTGTTCTTTAAGTACCTAGTTTTTCAAACATGCCCAGGAAATGAAGTGTAAAAATTACTTGCTTGGAAATTAGTCCTTTAAGGTACAATGCACGCATTGATGATCAAAATGACGGACAGCCAACATGATCCATTTTGTAACCTCAATCTTGCACCGAGATTTAAAAGTTCCCGCACTTTATTTCGTTGAATTGCGAGAAGTATGGTGCCTGGTTACAGATGGGAAAGGAAATTAATGCTTTGTAGCTTTATTTATTTATTTCTCAATTCTTTGGATCACTTTTAACTTTACTTGAGGTATCGAGCTTATTTGCAACACTAGTGAAGTTGTGAGTGATTTGGAAGGATGTTTTTTTTTTTTGCCCTCTTCAGGCCGCTATAAAAACGCTTGTTATCGCAAATCAGTATTCCTCCTCTTCGTTTGTTGAAAAAGCGCTTTATTAAATTTATGTTTATCTTGCTGGTAGTACATGGCTTGGTTTGTGATGTAAATTTAAAATCTTTGAAGTCCAAATTTTGCTATGGTTAAAGAAGAAAGGTTATCATTAAACTTCCCAGCGAGTTAGTGTGACAGATTCTCTCAATGTTTCTTCCTAAGTTCATTCGGAAGAAGAAAACTGTAGGTCAAAAAATTTTTCCTTTAGTATAGTTATCATTTGCACTGTTGAATGTTTTAGTTCTTAAAGAAAACAAACAACAAAAGGCAATTTGAATAATTAACTTTAAAATTATGGTTAGCAATAACGTGTTACCTGTTCAAGACGACACTAATTACTCTGATCTCATAGGAAAACTAACGTCTCGCTCTAACTATAATATGGTAAGAACGTTTTACATATCGACATATATCAATGTTTTTTGGGGGGTTCATGTGTCTCGAGCATAGCTTTATGATTTCGTTTTCGACGGAGGGAGTTATATTGCCTTAAACGAAACGACAATACATGGACCACGCTCAATAGGCCTGTCTGGAAACCAATAGCTACGAATTACGTTACCATCATATAAAAACGTCATCATACTGCCTCAACATCTTGAAGTCCTTAGACAAGCTTCCTCGATGTTGGCAGCCACTCTTTCCTTTTTTTTTATCCCAGTGTTTTCGTGCTGTGGTAAAGTACTGTTTTGTGGCTTTTCTTGATCTTTATAATGATTTAAATGATTCTGTACTTTTCATATTTAATCTTCTGAATGATACGTTTAAAGCCCTGTTAGCCTTTTCGAATCCAAAATCAGATCTAATTAAGTGACTCTTTAATTTATCTTTTTAGCCGTTAGATGCAATTGTATTTCTATCTGCCTGTTGTCGCCAGTTTTATATATTATTCAGCTAATATGTTTCACGAAATATTTCCCAGTTAATACTTGTTCCGCTTTGTTGAAGCTTAAAGTAATAGTCCCTTCACTCTGTTTAATTTTAAAGAGCTACTCTTCAGTTGAATTCACCGCTACACTTTGCCACGTGAAGTGTGGATTTTGTGTGTGGATTAACTTGTTTGTCATAATTTCCATTTATCAGCGAGTTCGTTATGAAATATTAAGGTTAATACCTTGAGCGTGTTGTTTATCTAGAATTTTCCATAACATGCAAATGTTGGCACGGTATTTACAAAACTGGTTCATGTTGTGCCAGATCATGCACGAATTGTGCCTTGTCAATTTTATAATTTCTTCGTTTCGTTTCTTTCTTGGAGCGTTTGTTGCTTTAGTGGCGTCCAGTGGCGCTGTGATGGGGTAGAATATTCTCCAGTCTTTTCTATAGACAAAGAAATGACGTGTATCTTTTGTGTCGGGAAAATCCTTTGTTTGAACAAACTTAGCAATTGGGCGTTCAAGACGTGTGTTGTTGGTGTGCTTCGCGCTTAACCCGCGAAAATATAACCTTAAACCAGATCTTCTCCCATTGTAACTGCGAATCAGCGCCTCAGAAGATTTTTCTATCGATTTTTGTGAAGTAAACTCGCCAATAAAATGGCAAAAGTCGATGTGATGAGGATACTACAGCAATATGTCAAGAACAAAATGGTACTTTAATTTTCAATGACCTAAAAATTTATTCAGTACATCGTTTTTCGCCTAGTTTGTGATCTTCCTAAATTGTTATTTAATTTATATCTCTTTACTGTTTGAAATATTTTTATTGCTTCTCTGTCGCTAGTAACGCTGGAACCTCGATGTAGCGAAACCTCGTTATAGCGAACACATTTTGCCGGTCCCTCGGCTCTTCGTTACATCGTGGTTTAACTGTTTTTGAATTTTCGTTTGAAGAGCTTCAAATATCGACTATATTTAATTGCTTCTATAAGAGCTGCGTTGTGAAACTGTAGTTTGAATAATATTCCACCTGAACTACTGGAGCCCTGCTTCTAAATGAAAATATATTGGAACCTCGATATATAACTAACGGCCTAGGGACTGCCAAAATGTGTTCGCAATAACGAGGTTTTGTTATGTCGAGGTTCTTTTCTATATATTAAACAGTTTGGGGTAAAATAATCGTTTATTATACCGAGGAAGAGGTTCCACTATATATTTTTGAAATTTTTGGCAGCAATGCAGTAATTTTATCTTAGTTTTTTTTCCCTCTTCGTCTTGAATTTTTACGATACTCTGGCAGCTGCTACTTATAATATAAGGGCTGTAAACGTTTGTAGTTTGAATAATATTGTCGCTGAATGCCCCCTTGTACTGATTCTGTTTATGGAAAAAAAAAATGCATTTTGACTTTTTTTCCCCGCTTTTCCCGTTTTTTAGGAAGAAGAAGCTCGAAAAGAAACCGAACGATGGGAACGGGAGGAAAAGGAAAGACAGGTAAGAAATAATTATCAGGAAAGAAATTCTAAAATATTCACTGAGCTGTTTGCACGCGTGTAATACGTTCCTTTGTGAACCATACAAATGAAATTCTAAGTATAGCGCTTTCTTGCTGTGCTGTTTGTTGAGCTGTATAATGTTATGCATGGATGAAGTGTAACCAGCTCTTTCTTGTGATCTGAACTCGCCTGGCAAGTGGGTGACAGAGCTACTAAGCAGTTTGTATTTTACTAAATGTCAGAACTATTTGTTATGCTTGTCTATTTTCTTACCCAGCCCCGTCGACACGAATCCGGGTATTTTTGATATCGCATATATTATACACGAATCGGCCTTCCGTAGACGCGAAACCATTAAATCCGCTCTCCCAAACCGCTTCTTTTTGAAACCGCTTAAAGCCCCGTCCACACGAATCGCGGGAAAATATTAGAGCGGTTTAAAAAATGTCCCAATTCGTGTGGACGGGTCCTCAGACTCGTTCGAAGTATATAAGAAAACAAATGACAGTAACTTTCCTTTTTGGTCCGTTATATGAATTATGGGCGGTATTTTAATTCTCATTTTATGACGTTACAATTTGTTTGTAACATATGAGTCGAAAAAGTGAGGATTCACAATACAGCTACCAAGTAGTACTTTCCTGTAGTATTGTTCAATATCAAAATTTGAGTCTTCATAAGATGAAAGGGATCTTTACAAGAACTCAGTACAAGTCTTAATGGATGAAATTCTTAAGTACGGTCATCCAATTAACAGTTATTACCTGTCCTTTGTTTTGTTTGTTTGGTTTTTTTTAGTAGTCCTTTTCATCTTGTTGTGCTGTAAAAATTTGATAGCGCTTTCGCAATACTTTCATTTATTGAATTACTGTCGACCTCGAACTTTATTGAGCAATAGCATTTTTCTTCCCTGCAAATTGTTTTTCATTTTCGACCTGTTTAGGCAGCAGATGTGACCGTTCGGGTCAAATATTTCGAGTATTACATTGTTGTGGCGGAGCCGGAATATTTCGTAATATTCTGCCTTAAAATATTAATCACATCTTTGTATTCAAATTAAAACCTGTGCCTTTCGAAATTGAAAAGGTTAAATTTCCTATCTTGCGGGGGTTAATTTTCCAGACATAGTTTCTGCTTACTCGAGCAGACACTATGAATCACGTGTTGATATTATAAGAAGTGACTTGCGTCAGTGTAAGCAACAGACCTCGACTTCTTCCCGTCGTGGGCGCTTCATGTTGAAACTATGTTACAAACTTTTACTGAACAACATCGCTCGGATTTCATGGCTCCTCACACATTATTTACGATCTGTTTAGTTGGCTGCAGGTTCAAAGGCCTTCATGAGGTAATTTAGTTTTTTTAGAAGGGTTTAACCAATTTCTTTGGAGCTGATTTACACTTTTCTTCTCGAGAGCTTTACAATATTGTAGATTTGAACTCCTTTAATTCGAACTCGGTTATCTCTGATTCCCCCGTGTAACTCAACCAATTATACCATCTGTGGCTCAATTTTCAGTTTTAACCCCACTAACTCGAACCACTGCTATTTCAATCTACATTTGTTGTCATTGGGAGTTGGAAATCGCGGGGTTTCTGACTATTCAAAGTTCAGCAGAAATTTCCGCTTAAGGAGAAACGGAAGGCACTTTTACATGAGGCGAACTCTCCTTACTTTTTCGAGAAACAATTTAAACTTTTATGCGCTGACTCTTGTTTCCACAAAGGAAAAATAAACGCAGGTTTATACACAGCTATGGAGCGTGATTATTAATCACACTGTGTGAATAACTACGTAATAACTCTTCGCCAAAAGTTGCTCGTCATTGTTATCTTGTACAAGTTACAAATTAATATTTTACGCTTTCATGGAAATCGTACTTTCTAACGTTCTTACTTTATCGCGCAGCTCGGAGAAATTAGCAGTGTTTCACTTTCTTTCGGAAGTTGTATTCGTATTCATTGCCATTTACATTTGTAGTGTTGAATAAAGCACTTATCTACAAAGTTTCCCAGTTTTAGAAGTTTCGAAATGTCTGTTCTTATTTATCCCCGAATACTTAAATACAGAAAGAAAATTCACCAAGACAATAAAATGGACGCGCAATCTAGCAAGAAAACATGTAGGATTTACAACCTGATGTATTAAGTGCATTAAGTAATACCACTAATTCAAGTCTGATTATGGATATTTGCGTGTGACATATCTGCTAGTTTACAAAAAACAGTACAAATAATGTGGTTGCTCAGATTTAATATTAGTCGATACTTATAAAGTTTACTCTCCTGGTTTGTATTTTGTTTGCTGAAAGTTTCTCGTGGCAGATTTCAGAAGCCAGACCTTTCAATTGGAAAATAACATGATAGGAAAATACCCTTAACCTAGTCAAACCGTAGTGTTTGTAACATGTCTTTGTTTGACAAAGTTGCGATTCAAATTTGTGTGATTGTTTGTTTGTTTCTTTCACTGAAACTCTCTGTGGCTTTTCCAACTAACCGACACTTACTCTTTTTTGTAGGAAGCGCTTCGTAAAAGACTAGAAGACACCAAAGGGATTACAGAGGAGAAACCGGTATTTTTTTTCTTTAATTAACCTAAAGCCGTACCGTGAAGTGTAGTTGTAGATTTGCCAACTTGAGTAGCAACTAATTGCTTACTTCGTTGATCTATTTAAGTGCATTTCAACAGTATTATGTTTTTCATATGTTATCAAATCGAATTTTAATTTCTATTATTTCTTTTAAACAAACCCATTGAAGAATAATTCTGGTGTTTCGGAAGTCCTGTTAACACTTGCTGACTTGCTTTGAGGAAGTTGGGGAGCGGTTTACTTACTTTACCACGAAGGAACATTCCTGTCTCAAGGAATTTGTTGATGTCCATAAAGTCACGTTTTTGGGTGGCGTGTTTACTATCGTCTCGTAGAAGTTTTTTTTTAAAAAAAAAAAAAACAGCTATTATTTTCAGTCACTCCCTCAGGGCGGTATCTTAAAATTTCAGGCAAACAAAGAAATTAACAATGTAGGTCAACGTTGTCGCCATTTTATTTTTTTCATTCCTGATTCCGCTTTCAAAGTACGTGATCAATCCACGAGACCAAATAGTAAACAGAACAGCTCCTCTTCGATGTCCCGGACAAAGCAGCAATAGCAACGTCTTGCTTAGTTTGGTACAGAAAACCAAGCTACAGTGAAGTAAAATTACAGTTATTGAACTTTCAGATCGTTTGAATGTGCACTACAAAAGTCACGTGTTAACCTTCTTTCAGACACAAAAAATATTTTATTGCTGTGGTGTTGAAAGGTAGTATACGGGAAGTTCTTGCTTAAAAATTCAAGTAAGACACCAGTTCGTCAGATTTTTGGAGTCGATGATCTCATTTTGAAATAGCCCAAGAACTTACAGATCTCGACGAAAATGTTGATTACAAACACTTATGACTCCCTCCAACCGTACAGCCGTTCGTTTAGCAGTTTTGTCTTAATCCAGTGAAGCAAAGCGTTTGTGGTCAACTATGATAATAAGCTTCACGTTTCCCACGCTCAATTTTTCACAACACGTGAAGACAGTCTCTTGGATAGTTGGGCCTCACGCGTTTGAACATATTGTTTTTTTCGATGGCTTTCGAAACTAAAATTCCAAAATTCAAATCAGATCCAGCTAAAAGTAAGGGTTAGTGACATTCAATAAAATAAACATGGTTAACAAACTTGGAACGTAAAGCGAACAGACGCACACGGAAGTACGGTGTATCATCTTCCGTTGATGACACGGCTTGAGGATTTTATACCTCGATAGAATCAAGCTAGATCCACCTTATACAGCACAATTAACAGCACCACAGGAAATTGCTACTCAGTAGCTTTCATTACTTACTGTAGGAATTCATTTGTAGATTCAAAATTTAAAAACAACCTTTTACAGCACAGGACAGTACCGCTTGACAGTATTTTGTACTAATTAATGGGTTTCATGGGAATGGTAATCTCTCTTTAAGGAGAGAACTACTCTACCAACAAATATTTGCAGAAGCTATATATTTCCATATTAATAAGATATCTTTTCTTATAGTAAATTCTAAATATTTAACAAGTTTGTGTTTGCCTTTTTTAGGGTATAAACAGAGCGGTTACAGGTTCCGATCACGCACAGAGAACGTCCGAGGAAGCTGCGTTGGATAAAACGCGTCATTCAAGCAGCGACTCTGCGAAAGATTCCGCACCGCAGTCTCCAAAACGAGCCCTAACGGCGGCCGAAAAACGTGCTCTTGAGGCGGAAAAACGTGCGGCCATGAGACAACAGCGCATGCGTGAACTCGAGGAAGATGCCTTGAAGGCGCAAGTGGTTATTGCGCAAGTGAAAGCAATGTCTGCCTCGTCACTCGAGACTCTCGCTGTCAATTCCCCGGATGGAGACCGGAAGTCAAGCGCGTCGGACTTTGACCTTCATGACGGGAGCCCCGGAGGGCCAAGAAGGTCTAGTGGTTCTTCTACAAAATCGACGTAATGCGTTAAAATTGAACAGAGAATTGTTATTCAAGTGACGAGTATCGGCATATCGGGAACAATTAGTGGTGTATTTGAGACTGGGGACAAGCGAACTTGGACGCTGCGGCGAACTGGGAACTGATTGTTTCGTCAGTCATAGAACCCATATATGGGAGTAAAATACTTTTCAGACTCGAAAATCTGAAAGTTTTATCGTCGCTTTTATGTTGGCATTCTGTTTATAGACAAAGTGATAGTTTTGAAATGTATGACAGTACATAATGTATAGCTCTGTTTTTGAATCGTGAAATTTTTAAGTTGAAATTTTTAAGATGGATTCTCTGTTGGAATTTCAAGCAATCCACTGTAAAATTATCTGGTTAATCTTCTTACCCCCGCCCGGTAAAAATATTTTATCTTTTTTAATTCTGTGTTTTCGCTTGTTATGTCACGCGTCGGCGTTACACATTATTGTGACACTTAAGGGTGACAAGGCGCACTAGTGACTGTCTTTCATCGTAGATGAACACAGAAGTTAAAAATGTAAATCAGTACAGGATTTTAACGTTTTTAATAGGTTTTAATTAATACAAAGTAGATATAAGTTACCTGTTTCAACCTGTTCTCCGAAAATTTGGGATTCTCGGTATTTTCTTATTATTTTATCATGTCTTGAATTTATAGTCTCTTAGATGATTTTTTTTAAAAGTGAAGATATTCGCAGAGTGCTTTCTGTGCAGTGGAAATATAATTATGGTTTTAACTCATAAACTTCAGTGCGTATAATTTTAGGGTATAATTTGTATTCTAACTCGTTTATTTGTTTTTATTGAAAAGATGAGGTGGGTTTTTTTTTATCAAAACGTATTTTTGAACGTCTTGAAGGAACACTGTCATCTCTTCCACGTCTCTTTGGAAAACTCATACTAGTAATATATGTAGTACAGATAACTATTATTATGAAGATACCCAATTACCATAAAACGTAAGATGGCGGTTGAAGTTCTTGAAGAATAATTTGACCGGTTGAAAAGCTAATAAACACGCGAGAAAGTGTTTCATGAAGTATCTTAACACATAAAATGGGCAGTAGGTCAACGCTCAGCAGTGCATCTTAATTTCAATGCCCGTCTTGGTGATTGGATATCTGTCGAAACACTCTACCGCGTGTTTAACGTATCACTAGACAAACACATTTGCGAAACCGGGGTTTTACTTAGTGAGTTAAAGGTTTCGCCAAACCTGAAGCAATCAAATGACAACATAGAATAAATCGTTTTAAAGGAATCGCAAATCCTGCTACTGCTTTTTTCTTTAAAATATTCGATGACAGTGTTTCTTTATCAATCAAAGGAGCGTTGGCTTGTCCACATTCGGGAATAAGATTACCTGAATGCTAATCTTTTCTATCGCTTCCAGGCCACATAGATATTACTGGTCACCGAGGATAGCCTTTAGAATGGCATATTTTGCAGCTTTTATGCTAGTTTGTCTTATTCCTTTATTCGGTCAATCTGACGTTGCTTTGTCATGAATTCATTTATTTTCCTCGTTTCTGGCCTTTTCAGTGCGAATGATATTATAATCAGTCGTTGAAAAAAAAAAACCCTTAGAGTATGTCTGCTTTGGTGACAACAGACATATTAATGTTATTTATTTTTGGCTTTAATTTGGTTCTCTGACTTCTGGAGATAAATATTATCCTTACAACGGAGTCGTGCTTAAGCATTACCGGAAGTGAAATACCACACCTCATTCAATATTGCGTCACGCTGCGCATGAGGTACTGACAAATGGAATAACGAATTTTTAAAGAGATCCTTTTAACTGCATTGCATGCATCTCTGATTTTATTTTTCCTTTTGTTTAATCCCTGTAGAAATAATATTCTCTTGTACAGAAAAAGCTCTTCGGCCTTGACGCATTATTCTATTTTTTCTCCAGATCTAATCAGATATTTGTTACAGATATATTTGGGAGAATTTAACTGCCAAGAACTAAGCTTTGATCATTGTAGAGGCCTTTGGGGCGGTAAAAGAGCCCGAGAGCTGAATACTGAAAATAAAACATAGCTATGAAAACGAGTCGTATTCAGTGTGAGAGGTTGCCTGCGCCGCAAACGCTCTAAACCTTCGGTATAGAGCGTATAGACGGATTATACAAATGGTTTAGACGAGTACGTGGGCCGGCTGCATCGTACCAAGCTAGAAAAAAGAGAGACTGCTCGTAGTCTCCGTCGAGCAAAACGTGCGAGACACGCAAATGACCACGCGCGTGACTAAAGGCGCGAGATTGGCGAGGCCGCCCTCGTTTCTCGCCTCTCGAGGTTTCGACGCTCGCGCTCGCGTACCTCCCCTCACTAGCACTAAATCTGAAGAAAAAGAGAGACTGCTCGCAGTCTATCTGCAACGCAGGTTATGTGAGAGGCTACTCCTCTTGAATATTACGCCCCAGTCCACGCGCTTAGAGAAGAACCGATCAGATAACTTAAAATTCTTGCTTGTCCACACCTCTCCAAAGTGAAACCTCGAACCCCCCCGGGGGGTACTGCCATATATGGGCTATATAGGTATGTGCCGCTGTGAAGGGTATGGTTTTCAAGCGGTTTACTCTAGAATAGGGTATATAAATCAGAGTGTTTGGGTCTAGAATAGAGTATCATTTTTCATGAAACTGATCAGTTGGTTGAAGATTTTATCTAGACTAGGGATTGTGGTATAAGGTTTTGTTTTGGCTAGACTGTGCTAGTGACCTCAGTAGTTTCTGGAAAACAGCTACTCTAGGATAGGGGGGATTATAGGAGTTTACTCTAGGGTAGCAAAATTCAGCTGAACTAGCTCTGGTATAGGTTAAGGGTTCCAGGGTCCCAGTGGCACATCCCCACCCAGAAATCCTAAAGTACCCCTCCGGGCCTCGAACCCGGCTCTTTATAAGGAAGTCCTCCGTATAACGAACGATTTTCTTTACCCCAGTAAGTAAAACATATGAAAAAAACCTCGATATAACGAAACCTCGTTAGAGCGAATAAATTTTGCCAGTCCCTTGGCCCTTCGTTATTTCTAGGTTCCACTGTAACTGGTTGGGCTTGTTTTCCCAGTCTAGGTTATGTGATGATACTCAAGGAAACTGTTTCTTTCAGATTTCTTATTGACACGTGTAAAAGTAAGAATAATCCATGAAGGGGTAAATTTCTGGGAGAACATACTATACTAGCAAACGGACTACGGTCTGATACTGACGATTTTTCCAATGTCACGCCTTTTCAACCAACTTCTCTTTCCTAGACTGCGAGTAGTCCCCCATTTTTCCTCACGGATAGTAGAGCGAGCGAAACGCGAGCGCACATGAAAATCACCCCACGCAAGAAAAGGCTACACGCGGCGGGGAGAATGCCGCCTTTTCTCGCGTGGAGTGATTTTCACGCGCGCTCGCGTTTCGCTCGCTCTACTGAGGAAAAATGGGGGACTACTCGTAGTCTGTATCTTTCCCTCCCCTGCTTTGAGAGTCGCGGCCGTTTGGAGTTGAACTGGGCGCCACGTAGCGAGAAAAAGCTCCTACAAAAGGTTAGAATTAAAAAACAAAAGGTGTTTGGTTTTAAATCGGCTGATCACATCCAATGAAAGTCCCCGGTTTTATAATGAGTCATCCAAGATCTGACTCCGTTGGCGGTGAATTTGTTACTACGTTTCATGACAGCTCCAACAGATGATTCACCAAGTCACCGCCATTAATTCTAAGACCGTTTATCTGAAGGTATCCTTCTTCTAAAATCTGAATTGTAATGTACTGTGCGAGTGTAGGCTTTTCAAACTTGACAATATGTCCCTTGCTTATGAATCTGTTAGCAGGCCCCTTATAGTATCCGCAACGAGAATTAACTTGGATCTCTTTGTTCCTTCGGTTTCCATTCTCATGTGCTGTGAATTCATCGGGAACGGGCGTCATTCCAGCCCTGATTTCCACATTTCTAAGCCTTGCCCAAAAACCATTTTTACGGTTTATTATGGCTATGTAAGAGATCAAAACAGGAGAAGGGAATTTCACTTCCAGCCACGGATACATTTCTAACTCTGAATGAAAGTATAAATAGTCACTATCCGACATTTCGCCATCAATAGCAAATTTCGGCCCCCACAGATCTGAATTGTTTCTGTACACGGAAGATCCTCGTGCTTCGAAGTTCGATATAAGTTCCTCGTTTGGAGCTGTCAGCAATTGCTTTACTATGCTAATGTTCCACTGCTCTTGGGTCATAACTGTCACTCGCTGTTGCTGCTTACAAGCAATCGTTGTTATCATTTCCTTGGTTAAATCGTCAAGGCTTTCAATAGTTCCTGTGAGGTTTTTTACAACGAACATCACCGCCGCTTCAACCATCTCATCTATTCCCCCTTTTTTACCAACTTCGATCACCAGCGAATAATTCGATCTGTCGATATGCTTAATAATAAAGTCAACGCAATTGTCACGCACCACTGTTAGAGCGGTTTTATCCGCAAACTTTAGAACGTCCATGGCGTTGTCTCTCGTGAGTTCAATTTCGTGATTGTACAAATAGTCGATGCATGGCTTGATCACGTCGAGTCCAAAATTTTCAAAAGTTGTTTCACTGGCATTTGGGTGGGTGCTGAAGAGATCAGCGAAATACTCACTCTGTGACGCGAGAATAAACTTGTGAGATTGAACTTCGGCGCCATCTTTGTCTTTGATTGTAAAATCATAAAATTGACGTTCACTGCTTTCTTTCTCGTGAAACTGTTTTATATTTTGACAGAAGTTCATATGGTGACGTTTCTCTGCCATTCTTGCTTGCTGATGGGAAGGCGTTTGTTCTTGAGAGGACTTTCATTTGCTGTTTCCAAGCCAGGTTTCTGGGTTTAGCGCTACACTTTGTAATAACCGCGCGGTACTGGGAACCAGTAATATATTTACGCGTCTTACGTCTTCAAAACAAAGATGCTCGCCTTTTTACCGCGCAGGTCCATATCAGGTTGCTTTCCCATTCGGATTTAGACAATCCAGATAGTTTGGATTTTCGTGCTAGCCGAACAAAATCTGAAGAACGATTGATCCATACAATAGCTGGCTGCTGCACTGATCTTCTTTTCAATTTCCTCGCATCGATTTTTATTTCTTTCCGCGCTAAATAAAGCGTCTTCTCGTGCAGCAATGGAAGGGATGGCCTGATGCTCAGACGTACGAGGTCGTTCGCAGCCTCTTCGCTTCCGGCCGCGAACGACCTCGGACGTCTGAGAATCAGGCTATGGAAGGGAAATTAGCTCTTTAATTTAGTAGTGGTTCATACTGGGCCTCTCTTGAAAATATCTGGAATTTGAACCAGACAAGTTCAAAAGACAACTACAAAATCTCAACATGAGTAAGGGGCGCCCAAAACACACACATCGGACATTTTTATACGGTGAGTCCAAGAGTTTTCGTTTCTTTACGGATCTAAAGTTACAGTGCAACTTGAGTTTGTTATACTTCATTCCTTAAGCGGCATAGAACAACGGACGAGTAAAAGAACTTTCGCCTGAACTGACCTTGTCACCTTGACCAGCCATGTTTATCAATGAATGTGCACATTTTGGCGATCGAAAAGCAGTTTCTTAAATGGAACGAAAATCTGAAAGCAGATTGAGATACCAAACTGAACGATCCAAGTCGGGAGGTGGATCGTTCAGATTGCAATCTAAGATGGGTTTAGTCCTTAACATAGTCAACTTCACAGAACGATAAATCAAACTGTGTGTTCTGGATCGCAAATCCGGATTTAAATTGTTCAAAAGGAATTCGAACGCAATTACAGCCATTTCCTTCTTTTACAGGAACTCTGACCTAACTAATGTAATGCAAGTGGTAGTCGCTCTACATGAGAGAAAAAGGAAGTCGTAACCAAAGATTGCGTACGGTGAACATTATATCGTCTTTTATCATTTACTAACTGACAGATCGAGTTGCACGAGGGTTTTAGCTTGTTTTATTTTATTTTTTTTAAATTTTGCTCAGAAATATTACGTGAAGGGCTCATTCTACTGATTTGTGAGAACGCTGCAGCCACAATCAACTGTGGTCAGAACGTAGCAAAAACGCTTAACACTTCTAAAATACCGTTGGAACTAATACTTAGTCGCCCCCGGTATAGAGGTCTCTGTCCATCGTCTTACGTGGCGTCGTCGTCCAGGAGGCAGAGAACCATGTATTATCCGTAAATGAAACCTATGTATTTATTTAGTCAGTGTAGTAATTCTAACTTTTAGAGGCTGGGGATGAAATCTTATGATGTGACCATTCAATTAAATGAAACTTCTTCAGCAGTACTTTCACACGGTACTATTCATTTAGTATGTAGTTCTAACGTTTGAGTCTGTGGATGAAATCCTACGGTGTAACTATTCAAATGAAAACTCTTCAACCAGCACACGGCACTATGTGGCTCTAACTTTAATTTGAGTGATTAATTAAAAGAAAGCTGCCTCACTCTCTTGGTGTGCCAATGCAAAAATATTATTGAGTGGTGCAATCGAATGTTATTGTTTCTTTTTTCGATAATTTACGATATGTCTAATCTTGTTAATGTATTTTCTCTTTAGACGATGCTAAAAGTAGGTTAAGACTGTGATTTTTAACTATAAATGGGTGACTTGTTAATTTGTGTCCGGAACCTGCCTCTAGGAGTAATTATATTTATTTCCATTGTTACGGTTCCAAACTAAGTAGTGTTTACATGACTATATTAAGTTGAAGTTTGGTGTGAGCTTTTGCATGTAGGCTTGCTACAAGTCGACCTCTTGGCGAGCGGAGCGAGCCTCCGCGAGCGACGAAGTCGCGAGAGGTCCCGTGCCATATGAAATCCGACGAAGGACTTTTTTTTTTGAAAGTCTACTTTTGCATGGTGGAATCAATTATAACACTGTATATCATAATAATGAGCTTTATTAACTTACAAGAAAATTTAAGCTTAACTTAGAATGAAGTTCGGTCACAAGGTCTCATGTACATACGTGTTCCTGAAAAACATTCCTATCACCACCCGATAAAATGGTGTTTCTCTTATTTAACCTCTTCATCTTCCCCTTCGTATGGATGTCCATACCTCTCCCCATTAGAATTTCCATTAAACAGTCAGAGTTCAGTGTTTATTTCCAACCGCAAACTATCATAATATCTCCTTTAACATTCTACTTCAGTAACCTCCTTACGAACATTTTAATCTTTTATTATGACTTATATGATATTGAGAACATCAGTAATGCATTTACAGCTCATTGTCTGAGCTGTATGGCTTGCAACTCAAACTGCTAATTTCTACCATGAACCTAGATTGCGAGAAAAAGAATTATTGCTGATTCCCTAAATAACGGTACTGATTTGAACCGGCCAGACTATGAAATCCCAGTAAATAGTGGTCTGCTCTAGCTATAGCAAACTGCAAGGAACTTCCTAGTAACCCAGGCCATTTACAAGAGTCATATGTGAGAGGTATTCTACAAACTACTTGGACTTTGAAAAAGATGATTTTTCAGTCAGTGACACTGGCGGCTGGTAAACAAAAATCCGGGAGTTGTGCCTGGGAAATCTTGGTGGGGGTGTGCCACCCGGTTCTCCAAATCCTGACCCTATTTCAGACCAAAAAAATGTCATTTTTCACACCCGTTTTCAGACCTGGCCCCTAAAATCCATACCCATTCTCAGACCCGGTCGTTTAGAAATTATGGCATCATTACTTAGATTAGCAGCCTCAAAAAACTCATTTGGAATTGAAACAATAAATACGTTCGTACAATTCTGTAGTTCCCTTGACAACCACACCAGATTCTAGAACAAAACTGAGGAAAGTCTATTCCCGTCATCAGACCAAAACAGCAAAAAAATCCTGCCCTTTAGGACAGCACATACACATATGGCTTATATAGGGGAGTACCCCCCCCCCCCCCCCCCCCCAGGACAAAAATGCGAGTACTCCCAATACGAGTCAAACCTGTCATGACAGTCTGGTTAGTATAGTTCAGATGCTCTACTGAGTACCACTGAGCTACAGGACAGTCATGAGAGAAAAGTTACTGCTTGGACCAGTTACTGTTCCATTTGATGAAATTGAGAAAGATGCTGCAAAAGCATAATTTTCGATATTTTAGACATTGTTACGAGTGTATGTGAAGCTATGCAAGCCATTTGGCAAGTTTGACATGCGTCAGAACGCACACTCATAATTCAATAGGTCACCCCCGTTTATTTTAAGTCCATTAATCTGGAGAACCCCCTCCCCTAAAATCTGCAGAGTAATGTACTGAGCAAGCGTAGGCTTTTCGAACTTGATGCCATGCCCTGTGCATATAAATGACTTTGGTGGCCCTGCAAAAAATCCACATTGAGAGTTGATGTCAATACGTTTTTTGCTATGGTTTCCTCTATCATAGGCTGTGAATCCGTCAGGGACAGGCATCATTCCAGCTCTGACCTCCACATTTCTTAGTCTTGCCCAACAGCTGTTTTTTCGGTTGAAAATTGTCACTGAAGAGATCAGCACGGGAGAGGGAAACTTCACTTCAAGCCACGGATGCATCTCAAGTTGGGAGTGGAAATAAAAGATGTCACATTCTGACACTTTACCATCTATCGCAAATTTCGGTGCCCATTTGTCCAAGTCATTGTTGAATACTGAAGATCCACGAGCATGAAAGCCCGAAACATCGTGTGGCGCTGTCAGCCACTGCTTCATTAGGTTTAGGTACCATTGCTTCCGGGTCATGATCGTCACGCGTTCTTGCTGCATACACGCAGCCTTGACGATCGTCTCTTCATCGAGATCACGTATAGGTTTTATGAGGTTTTTCTTCGCGAATTCGTTCCCTGCTTCAACGAATTCTTCTATTCCCAGTGAGTAACCAAGCTCTATTACCTGGGCGCAATTCGACCGGTCGATGTATTTGATGATGTAGTTTATGCAAATTTCGCGCACGTCTGTTAGATTGATGTAGTCGGCAAATAATAGCACATTTTGAACGTTCTTACCGGTGAGTTTCACTTTGTATGTATACAGATATTCAATGCACATCTTGATCTCGTCAAGCGAAAAATCCGTAAAGGTAGTCTCACTGGAGTTTGGATGTATGCGGAATAAACCCGCAAAGTAACTGCACTGTGAAGCAAGAATAAATTTGTGGGATTTAACCTCGACGCCATCTTTGTCTCTGATAGTGAAGTCATAAAACTGTTGCTGATGCTTTTTCCCGTGATATCGTCTTATATTGTTACAGAAACTCGAATAGTTCCTTCGTTCTTCCATCATTTCTTGTTTGAGTTCTTTACTATGAAGAGCACTCTAAAACAGCTGTAAAATAAGAAAATAATCCATCTCACTCGAGGAGTGCACGATGAGTGTTATCGTGTCAGCATTGTCTACTTTATATAGAAGCTAATATGGAAGTGCTCCACAGTCCCGAATGAAATAAAGTTTCAACAGCCACGGTGTTACAATGACACTGGACATTTTCATTTAGCAACAACTCGCGATTTGTTGGTCGTGTTTTGGTGTCGCACTACGCCTTCTCACAACGTTACGTACAGACTCTATATGATATTTACCGAAAATGGCAAGGAGGAAGTGGGAATGCGTGACCCAGGATTTGTACTCTGCAAGCGTTTGCAATTGCCTTTTCCGATCGGTTTTCTACAACTCAGCAGAGTTCTCCTTTAATTTAACAACCAGTGACCGTTAAATACGAAAGGGTGTTGGGGTTCGCTCTCAGTAGCGGGGTACTCCCTAAAATGGCCTTTACGGAGAGGCTCCACCCGAAAGGGGTATCTTTTTCAGGTTTCAGGGTAGGGATTTCACTAATTGAAGTATACGAAAGGGTAGGGAAATCTGTCATCCGGGTCTCTGAAAGGGCCCAGAAGGGCTTACAGATGAATTTTATGGCTTTATAGACTCGAGAAAACGTTCTGTTTTTGCGGTTGATTCCTATTCAAAAGGCAGTGTATTTACAGCAGTTAAAAGAGATGCAAAGTTCTAAACAAGGTACGTGAAAGGGGTACCATTTGTCAATGGAAGGTATACGAAAGAGGTTCTTTTTCGTGAAAAATTGTATATAAAAGGATAAGCTGGTTGGACCTCGAGGCGTGTCCTCCCCTGATAAACATTTGTTGAGTACTCCCTGGGGCCCCACGAGCACTTGCCGTTGCCCAGTGCCCGAGCTTCGTTCCTAGGGCGTTTTCCGGGAGTCTTTTCATTAAGCAACGTATTTTAACTGGGAGTGAGGCCTATTCTCTTTTCCCTTTGTGTGCTACTGTAAACCTGAAGAAGGCTGGTATGGCCAGCCGAAATATTGTTGTGAAAAAACAATTACGTTCTCCTGCTCAGCTTTGTAGTAGTCTTTGGACTTCTCGTTTTTGGTACTCAGCTAGAGACGATTATTTGCCCTGAAATTTGGGCAAAACTATCGCCCAAGAATGCAAAAACTCCACTTTAGGTTGACGTGCGTTGCCTAAAAATGGCTTTGCTTTTTGAAGGGAACGTTCTGGAGACGTGGTTGTCTTTGCCTTCCTGCACCTAATTCCGCTTTCAGTGATCTCAACATGCGCCCTGATTCCCCCTTTACACTATTTCTCTTTCAGTCACTAAGGCGTCTAAAAACGCACAAGTAAATATTTTGCTGTTGGAAGGTGAGGGGAGAGAGGATTATCAGTTGTAGCCGTAGTAATGTTCAGTATGCAGCACTGGAAAGTGAAAGTTATTAGGGCTTTCCTTTTTTTTTTAAGAAATGTGATGGCGCTGCACATATTGATCCGCATGTTGAGAACAGGAAAAATAATGACAACAGCAAAAACATTTCCATGTTCTAAAAATAGAAATTGTCAAACCAGTTTGATAAAGTACGTGACTAGACTGTTCACAGTCCCCTATTTTTTCGTGAGATCGAGGAGATATAGCGCGTCTTACCGTTAATGACGGCCATCTTGATTTTCAAATGTACCGAGGGGGCCGGCGTCGGGGATTATAGCTGTAGGGGGAGGGGGCGAGAAAAAAAAAATCTATTTTTCTCGCTTCCTCCCAAACAGCCCCCCGCCCCCTAAGTAGTTTTGACACTCATGCAAGATGGCAGCCCGTAACGCAAAAGACTCGATCTCGACGATCTCGTCTCGTACCTGAAGGTAATCGTATTGAACTGATTGTCCCCGCGGCCCAGAATCTTCTGGTTTTGAAATCACGCCAGTTCAGCGTTTCAGAGAGACTGCTGTTGTTGTTGCTCTTATTGACTTTGAGCAAACAATTTGGTGACAGTTTATGTCGAGTACAGTACTTGTAAAGGTGAACTCAGGAAGAATCTTCATGTCGATCTAAATGTCGATTGCTGAAACGACAAAATTGCGTTCGTGTTCTTCCATAGCTTCTAATATTCTAAGTGACAATGACAGAAAGTGCTCGTCACACGAACTTCTGTAACAACGTAAGAGCGTATCACAACAAAAGGGAAGAAGAGCAATTTTACGACTTTACTATCCGAGACAAAGATGGCGTCGAGGTTAAATCCCACAAGTTTATTCTTGCTTCGCAAAGCGACTATTTCGCAGGTTTATTCCGCTTCGATTCTAACTGCGGTGAAACTACCTTTGCAAGCTTTTCGAATGACGAAATCAAGAACTGTATTGAATATTTGTACACTCAAAACGTGAACCTCACGGAAGAGAATGTTGAAAATGTTCTGATGTTTGCCGACTTCATCAATCTGACGGATGTGCATGGCATTTGCATAGATTACATCATCAAGCACATTGATCAGTCGAATTATGGCCACGTGATTGGGCTTGGTTACAAACTGGAAATAAAAGAGCTAATCGAAGCAGGCGTTAAAAACCTTGGGCCTCAGAATATCAATAGTCTGGATACCTTCTCCAAGGACATGATAAATGACGCTGTCCGTTTGCAGCAAGAGCAAGTCACGATTATGACACAGGTGCAATGGAAATTCAGTCTGATAAAGCAGTGGCTGACAGCGCCGAACGATGAAATGGGTTTCGAAGCTCGAGGATCTTCAGTATACTGGACGAATTTACATAATTGGGGGCCCAAATTTGCAATTGATGGCGAAGTTTCGGATAACGACTTTTTCTACTTTCACTCCGACGTCGAGATGCACCCGTGGCTGGAAGTGAGATTTCCTTCTCCAGTCTTGATTTCGTCCGTGACCATTATCAATCGTAAAAATGGCTGTTGGGCAAGACTAAGGAATGTAGAAGTCAGAGCTGGAATGACACCTGTGCCTGATGGGTTCACAGCACGTGACAGAGGATACCATAGCAACAAAAAACTTCAGGTTAACAATCAGTGTGGGCACTTTGAAGGACCAGCAAGAGGATTTGTTAGCGAGGGACATACCATCGTTTTTGATAGGCCTACACTAGCGCAGTATGTTACTTTACAGATTTTGGATAAAGAATATCTTCAGATAAACGGTCTGAAAATTAATGGAGGTGACTTGCTGAATCATAAGGATGAATGTTTTTAAAAAAGAAAAGAAATAATCTAAAAGACAGGTGGACAGCTTTGTGTACTTTACGCACGTGTCTATTCTTATCTTGAATATTGCATTCTAGTATGGAGTTCGACATACCCTACTCACCTTAGGCGCCTAGTCTTATTGCAAACCGCATTGTTAGAGTTATCAGCGAGAAGGGCTTTGACGCTCACACTGATCCACTATTTAAGAATCTTATGATCCTTAAGTTAGAAGACATCTATTCTTTGCATCTCGCGAAATTTATGTTTTCTTTCAAAAATACCTCAATTCCTTCCAGCTTTTCCGGATCCATTTTACGTACTAATCAAGTTCATGGTTATAGCACGCGTAGTTCAAATAGATTTTATATTCCTTTCTGCCGTACCAACATGAGAAAGTTTTCTGTTTTCTATTAAGGTGCTGCCTTCTTTAATAAGCTGATTGCTTTCATTTGTGATGCCCCCTTCTTATATTTGTTCCAATCCAGAGTTAAAAACTTTCTTCTTTCCTGTCACTGAATTCTTAACTTAAATTAGTCTTTGTTTAGTTTTTCGTTACTACATGTATTTTTAATGCATTACTCCGCGAATTTCATTTTACTTATTTTCTGTGACTGGGGAGCCAAAGGCTTCATAAGCCTTCTGGGCTCTCTTGCCAACTTACCATTCTTATATGTATTCTTGCGTTGTAACTTACTTTGGCTAAATAAAACTGAACTGAGGTGAAGTGAAGGAGTACAGACTCACAGGGGCTCAAAATCATTGTCAGGAACAAAGATTTCCGGTTAATTGATCGTTAAAGTACAGACTCGTGACTTACGTCACAGAAAAGATTTTCTTTCTTTAATTTGTTTNGCTTTGACGCTCACACTGATCCACTATTTAAGAATCTTATGATCCTTAAGTTAGAAGACATCTATTCTTTGCATCTCGCGAAATTTATGTTTTCTTTCAAAAATACCTCAATTCCTTCCAGCTTTTCCGGATCCATTTTACGTACTAATCAAGTTCATGGTTATAGCACGCGTAGTTCAAATAGATTTTATATTCCTTTCTGCCGTACCAACATGAGAAAGTTTTCTGTTTTCTATTAAGGTGCTGCCTTCTTTAATAAGCTGATTGCTTTCATTTGTGATGCCCCCTTCTTATATTTGTTCCAATCCAGAGTTAAAAACTTTCTTCTTTCCTGTCACTGAATTCTTAACTTAAATTAGTCTTTGTTTAGTTTTTCGTTACTACATGTATTTTTAATGCATTACTCCGCGAATTTCATTTTACTTATTTTCTGTGACTGGGGAGCCAAAGGCTTCATAAGCCTTCTGGGCTCTCTTGCCAACTTACCATTCTTATATGTATTCTTGCGTTGTAACTTACTTTGGCTAAATAAAACTGAACTGAGGTGAAGTGAAGGAGTACAGACTCACAGGGGCTCAAAATCATTGTCAGGAACAAAGATTTCCGGTTAATTGATCGTTAAAGTACAGACTCGTGACTTACGTCACAGAAAAGATTTTCTTTCTTTAATTTGTTTTGTCCAGTTTCGAGCTCTGACTATCTATTTAACATCTATTTTTTTTACTTAGTTTACGTTTTTAGGTACTTAACACAATATACTTAGTGCACGTTTGGCTTAATTGGTCGTTAAAGTACAGACACGTTGCTTACGTCACAAATGTTTTTTTTTTGCTTTAATTTTTTTGTCCAGTTTCCAGCACTGCATGACTATAGTGATTTGGGTTAAGCACTGACAATACTAATTAGCGTTAAGAACTGAAATTAGTGATTAACGTTAAGCACTGAATCAAAACGGTTTGCTTCCAGTTAGGATTAGGCTTGCTTTAAGATACCTTCAAATGACCTCAAATCAAACCTTTTCTCAGCAGTGAATCCTCAGTGGCGTAGTGTGGTATGGGTGGTGGACTGCATATTTCACGATTCGCGTTCGATTCTTACTCGCGCTACTCGGAAATTGTTTTTCCTTAAAAACTGAAGAGACTTTAACACTTTCATGAACATTTGCTGAGCAGAAATTTTGACAGACTTACTACAAATTTCATGGACCAGTAGGAAGCAATAAAGAATACTATACTGAGTGTGTAAGCTTCATATGGTGTCCAAGGGGGTTTAGGCCGATGGAATCTCTGGCTAACCTGTCCAACATGCATTCTCAGAAATTCAGTGCATTCCGTTGGGTCTCAGTGGAGAAAAGAGACCACAAAAGTTTTCAAGCACGGCTTCAAGACTGCCCCTCGGTTTTTGAGGATGAGATTTTTCACATATTAAGCAACCGAAAAGCTCGAAAAAGAGATTCCCTTTTGGCTTGTGACAGTGCCTTCGTCCGAGGAGTTGGAGCAAAAAATTCCACCAAAAAATTCCTTCCATTTTTCAACACACATTGGGTCAGTTATTTAAACGGAGTTTAGCCAGTGTTTGACAAAACCGCGTTCTAAGCGCTTTTCAGTTGCCGAACGCTTTTATGTTAACACCATGTTTCGTGAACAGTTTCGAGAAAGCAAATGGCGTAGACTAGAAAAGAATTTGTCTTCTTAAAATAACCCACTAAGGAAGAGATCTTGAGTTCCAAAGACTTCCTAAACCGCGGTCTAAGTTAGAGTTGATTATAATAACCGACCCATTTTGTTTACATCTGACTTCATCAGCATGCTTACTCACGTAGAAAACGTATCGTCGTTAATAAGAATTGACTTCAGAAGTTGTCTTATCTCTTGCGTCTTTTCAGTTATAGATCAAACAAGACATCAAAATGTGGTCAAACAGTATGCGGGTCTATGTGACACACTCGCCTACCGCGCCCACCACGCCACAAGTTTGTTCTTTTTGAAGTCGTCTGAAGGCAAGCACAAGCGTTTCTTGGGATCGACCGACGGCAACTCGATGTGTACCTTTTTGCTTTCTTGCCCAGCGATTTTGCTCATGTTTTTAGACAAATCGTCACAAGTGTAGAGACACTAAGCAGTGCAAATTTGTTTGCGTTAGGGTAGGGGGAAAAGGCCTCACCTAGCCCCGCTAGGATTGACGTGCGTCGAAAACTCGCCTGATGTAGGTGCTGGCAGCCGATTTTCGGCCATTTTCTCTTTTGTCTGACCCACTGGAGTTAAAAATAAACTTGAACTTTCGCGCTTAAGGCTGAAAAGGTCCCGGATGTTTGTCGTCTCATTCTTGTTGGCGTCGCTC